TAATTAAAGGGATTCAACAGTTGCAAAACACTAATTTCCTTAGACTTATATTTGTGGTAAAAAAGCATATTTCAATTAACATTTAAACAAATTAAATAAAAGTCATAAATAATAAGAATATTTTAATAATTAATTTTTTGAATAGGTATAATCACATTGATAATGAATGCTTGAAAATTATTGGAAAAGAGTTAGCAAATAATAAATCAATTAAACATTTCTACCTTAATCTTAGAGTTTAGAAGTAAAATAAATTAAGAATTAGAAATAGAAATGAAATAAAAATATATATTTACTTTTTTTAAAATAATAGTGGAACAAATTTTGACGGAACAGGAATTTTTAATCTAGCTAAAGATTTAGCAAAAATAAAACACCTATTTAGTCTCGAAATTGTTACATAGTATAAATAAATAAATACATTCTTAACAATTTAATTAAATGTGAATTAATTATTTATGAAAAGCTTATTTTTCTTTATTAACCTTGTTAATTAAAATTTTTTTAAAAATAGAGATCCTTATGTTAAGTCCACTAAAGAATATTTGAACTAAAAACACTTTTTACAACTCAAAAAATTGCTTAGAATAGTTTCATTAAAATATTATTGAACTATAATTAATAACTTAGTGTTTGTTTATTCATTTTTATATAAATAAAATTTTTTTTATTCAATTTTATTAAAAGTTTTTAAAATTTAAATATTTTAAAAATTGACTGAAGCCTATTTTATTTTATTAATATTTAAAATTACTTCAAAGTGATTAATTAAGTGGAATTCAATTTAAATTCAATGTAATGTCTTATTTTTTGGTTATATAAAAAACTTGATTGTTTGTTTTTTTGCTTTTTAAATTAACGATTTCAAAAATAATTTAATATATTTAAATATTTTAACTAGAAAAAAATAAAATTTACATTTTATGGAAAATATTGAAATATATTTAACTATATTGAAAGTAAATCCAGAAAAAAAATATATCCTTGAGTTTCTGCTTCCACAAAAATTTAATACCTGAAAATGCTATACTTATTGCTTTTTTAATTCTACTTATAATTTAATAAATTTATTATTCTTGGAAAAAAAATATTTTATTAATTTATTAAAAATATATAAATAAGTATAAATATATTTTATATCTAATTCTTATTTTTAGATTAGAGTTACTCTAGATAAATATAAAAAGAAAGGATTTTTAAGAATATTTTGGATAAACTCTATTATTTAAAGGATCTATATCTAATTTTGTTTTAGAAAAATGTTTGTATTAATGAATACAGTAGAATCAGTTAAATATTAAAAATGCATCTAATAATTATTGATTATGTTTTATTATATTTTTAAAATGTACTTAAAAAGTACCAAATAGATAGAAACGCATTAAACTTTTAAATGCTGTAAAAAGGAGATTTTTAAAGAAATTAAAGGAAGAATGAATACACAAAAGCTTTTCAATATTCTTTTTTTTCAAATGTAAAAAAATAAATTATTCAAGCAAATTTCAAGTTATTGAATAAAAAGCAAAAATTAATTTGAAACATCACACCAAAAGTAGAAGTAGCTTTATAAAAGAATATAAATAATAATAAATTAGTTTGCTGATAAAATGGATTTCTCAAATGAGGATGATATCTTTGACGATTCTATATTGGTATCTCAGAAATATAAATACAGAATATTTCATTTTATGGATAAGATGATCGATTTTCACCATGAATCTTTCATTATTGAGATTTTGTATTTAATTATTTAAACATTTCAATTGATAGGGTTATTAGATTAATCTTGGATGCGTATTACTAGCATAACGAGTTATTTTTTAGATTTCATGCAGTATTTCATTTTTATTCCACAATTTTAAAATAATAATTATGCAACTTAATTCTAAGTATTTTTTTATATCTGCTCCTCCTTTATTTTGCTTTTAATTATCAGTTTTGCTTATGCATCTTTATTCGTTGGAAAAATTGCAACCAATAATTCAAAATTAAATTGGTACCATAAAATTATTTATTCCTCTTTCGACTTTCTGTTAAGCTCTACCAGTTAAGTTCTTTATATCCCACTCTTTTAGCTTCTAGTCTCAAGCTTTAAATGCGATAAAAATACAAATAATTAATATTCATCAACATACTCATAAAATTCTTATATTAACGTAATAAATAAGTATGAGTGTCTTTCAGTTGCTTAGATTCCAAATATTGTTTTATCTGTAATCTGCATTATGCTATTGTACATAATTTCTAGCTATTTTAATACGATCTGCTTTGATACAAGACTTGATTGCTCATATAAAAACTCCAAAATTAATGGAAATTATGAGATAAATCTGCAATACTTTATTTCTACTTTCTGCTTAGTTGATGCTTTTCTGTTAGATGATAAATATGAAATTATAAAAATATTTATAGCTACTGTCTGGTCCTTTTATTTATTAACCTTGTTGATAAAAAGCATACCACACAATTTTAAGCTTATTTAAATGATAAAGTTAGAGCAGGCTCTTATTCTTTTTTGGATGTAACTTATTGCTACTTACAATTATTTTTTCTAAGAAAATACAATCGTAGTTTTTTTTTGGATAGTTGGAATTGTTTTTTTGACATTACTTAATATTTATTATGAACCTATTACAAATGAAATTTGTGCTGCCAATTCATTTAATTACAAATACGCTGAAGAAGTACTCTAATATCTGAGAGTTCTTTGCTTTGCAGTTATAAAATACGATTAATATTCTTTAAAAGTTGATGGCTTTTTAAACAGACATAGAAATGACTGTAATGAAACTCATTGTCCTTCAAGATCAAATTCCCTCCGCATTTCAAAGCTAAATTAAATGCTGATCAAATAGACATCTAACGAAGACTTAATTCTAAGTGTTTATGTAATTTTTAAAATATTCGATAGAAATATTTAGAAATTTGGAGGATCAAATCAAATTAGATTTTTCTATTCACTTTTCTTATTTTAGACATTACAGAATAAAGATTAATCATTAATACAATTACAATTTATATTATAAAATTAACCAACTTTCGAGGAAGAATTTCTTTGCTTTAGATTAAAAAAAATTATTTTTTAATAATAAAATTTGAATAAACAAAAAAACAAAAGTAAATTCTAATTTATTTTTCATTAGCTAACATTTATAATTTTATTAATATTTTAATAGACTTAGATTTTTCTTTAGAAATAACTAACGAAGAAAGTTCAAAAAGATTCATAAAGATTTTAAATAATGCTATACAAAATTTGCTTAATTTCTGGCAAGAATTACTTGAGCCAAGTCCTCAAGCTGAAAACTTAATTAAAACAATCTAAATTTTTTCATCATAAGTTGAAACTATTTAGACATAGTTTGAATAAATGATTTAAAAAAGAAGCATAAATCTTTCTGCAATTAATTATTTCTAAACTTTCACTTTGTAAATTTTAGAAGATGAGTAATAATTTACAGCGTTACAAGGAAAAACTCATGTTAAAAATACTGAATTTGATACCAAAGAGAAATAAGATAAAGAATATTAATTGAATGAAAAAGATATGTATACTAAAGGATCTATAGTTATCAGTTCATAGGAGGAAAATTTCTCAAATATCATAGAAGTTAACTCTGAAATGTTGAAAATTATTGGCTATAAAAAATCTGAAATATTATCTAAGAATGTCTCAATGCTGATACCAAATATTTGGCAGCATCACCATGATCAATTTATTGATTAATTTCTAGCTACAGGATAAAAGAACTTTATTGGTAAATTTTTTTAAATTTTATATAAAAATATACCAAATATTATTTAAAAATTATTATTAAACTTATATTTAAATTTAATTTTTTTTATTGATAATATTGATTATATATTTATAGTAATTCTTCTAAAATTAAATAAATAAACAAATCCAAACTAGTTTTTTGGTAGCAAAATTCACACCATAATCGAAAAAATAAAAAATTTAAGAAAAAAATGCCTTAATTAATGAGCATTTACAGTATAATAAAAATGTATTTATGAATAAAGGAATCACAGTGATATATATCAAAAAAAATTAGCTTTTTATAAGTTTTATAAACTAAAAGTAATTAATTAGATATTATGAAAAATAAATAGATAAATATTGAAATAATTATTTTTTTCAGCAAATAAAATAAAACAAAATGCAAGCAAATTCTATTCAAAAATAATAAATTTATTAGTTATTTACCTATTAATTTGCTCGTGAAATTATTTATATTAATTTTTAAAAGAATATTTGAATTAAACTAACTTTAAATATATTTTAAATAATTGAAAATAGGAAAAGAAAAAAATTTATTTATTAAATGTAGACAAAACTATTCTCTTCCGATTACTCTAAACATTACAACAATAACATCTTTAACTAAAGGTTTAATGTTTTAAGCTTTTGTAATTGCATAAAATTTACTGTATGATTATCCTGTCTATATTATAACTCTACCTGACGGTTAGATTGACACAATATCTCCTAGTGCAGTTCCTATGTTCAACATTCAAATAAAAAAAATACAAAGAGGTATGTACGTTGAAAAAATAATTCCTCAATTTTGGGAGTATATTCTTGAGTTTTAGTAGAAGTAAGGTAAAGAACTTTTTATCAAAACCTATTAATAGGAGATGATGAAAGAAACAAAAGTGAAAATAAATGTTGAATAAATAAGATTTATGAAATTAAAAAATTAAGGATATATCATTAAAATATCTTTGTTAAAATCAGAATAAAAAAGCTCATTAACATCTCTTTTTAATAAAAATATAAGATAAAATATAAATAAATAACAAAATGCATCAATTTCTAATTTAAAAGATAAAACATTCTAAATTTAACAAGAAAATAGTAGAAATATTTCAAACGAAGATTTTACTGAATCTTCAACTTCAAGTAGGACAATAAAAATAAAAAAAAACAAAAATGAGCTAAAACACTTAAATAATTAAAGTAAAAGTTGTTAAATGGAAATATTTTATGATATGAGAACTAACAATTTTTTAGGGACTATGGTTGAAGTGCCTAATAAAAATTATTTTGAGGATATCTAATCATCAATGCAATAAAAAACAAGTTAGTAACAAATTTTTAATCTTCTAAATTCACCAAAATAAAATAATTAAATATTATCAAAAATAAGCTCTAATGATTAAAGTTAAATTTAATAAAAATTGTACCCATTTATTTTTACTTCTGAGAGAAGTTAAAAAGAGAGAATTCAAGATATTCTTGATAGTAATGACATTTCTAAGTAAAAAGATGATGCAGTTGGCAAATAAGTTAGGTAAATTCTAGAGAATCTTATAAGAATGTAGCACATAACTAGAAAAAAAAAAGCAGACCATACTTTCGAACTTGAAAAGAAATCAATATAAGTCGGTACAAGTGAAATAAAGCTCATTCCTTAAGTTTACTTAAAACCACATGAAATATTTGGAGTGTAAGAAGATTTCTAAAATCGTATGCAGTATTTACTATTTAACAGCAGCTAAATAAGTAGTAAAGTCCAAAAAATGAAATAATCTGGAACTTTTAAAATGTATCTAAGCTGTAGTAGAGATATAAAAACTTTAAGATTACAAAACAATAAACTGATTGATCCTAATTTAGCCAATGAAAGTGAAGAAAATTGTAGTGAAAATTCTTTTTAGAATATTGATAGTGTCGAAAAAAATTAATAAAATGAAGCTTTTGATACCGAGGGAGAACAAAAAAAAGAAATTGATTAAGTAAGATTTTTTCATATTTTATTTTATTTTAATATCTTTTTTCATTGTATAATTTTAAAAATATTCCCCATTATCTATCAAAGGGTAATTTAAAATATTTATTGATTTATTTTATTAAATTAGATTGTAAATTCTAAAAAGAACATAAAATCTTTTATGAGAGACGAGAACTTTAATAATAACAATAACTTATTTGTTTTTAAGAATGTGTTTTCTCTTATGTACTTGATATTTGAAATAGTTTATATGAGCTTGTCTTTATTTTTTTACTAGGAGTAGATAAGTAACACAATAACAAGATTTCAGATGTTTAATGTCACCCATTTATATTTTGCAAACACTTAGCATATAATAGAAGGAATTTTTAATATGTTTGCTATTGACAAAGGATCATACTATAATTATGATATTTTAGATTATTAGACAGCTGAATTTTTCTTTTAGTAATACCTTGAATCGGAAACTATTTATTAATTTGCTTTAGATTAAATATTAACAAAAATTTATTTGAATAATGTTGGAGTTACACAATAAATGTAGGATCTATTCATAAATAATAGAAATATCAAATTGCTGATTCATTTCAATCATATCTAGACAACTGTTTATCCTAATAATCTCTACTAAGCGTCTTAACAAGTTCTTGCTAAGGTTTATCATTTCAAAGTACTAATTTAAATTAATAAGAAAAAAACATTATTTCATTTATTTTTTAAGAAAAAAATTTGAATAATTTTAATTAATTGATAGTGTGAATGAATTTTTTTTTTGTAATTTAAATTTATTCAATATTATAAATTATTTTATTAACAGAGAGTACCACTTGGGTAATTTGATCATCATAACAACGATATTTTTATCAATCTAGAGAACTTTTCGAATTAGTTGCTGAATTAAATTATTGAATACAGAGACTATTAAAGAGAAGAGATTTCTAATTATTTAAACTATGTTTAAAATTATTAACAATAAGTGTTATTTGCAGGATTAATGTTTATTATAGCATATCTAATTTTAGCTTTTTTTCTCTATCTAAAGACTCTTTTTTATTATCAAGAAATATCTTCAGTTTTGACAACCATTCCATTTTCACAGGTTAGAAACTAAGTAAAAAAATATGAAAAAATTTTGAACAACAATATTGAAGAGCACTAAGAAAATGAAGTTTTAAATGAAGAAGAACAAGATGACGAAAAGGAAAGTTAAGATTAAAACAATAATCTAGGCAACTTAGATGATAATTAATAGAATATTCAAAGTTAAAATTGCTATACATAAGAATCAAAATCACCTAAATCTGATTATTATAATCAAGATGGTATACGAAACTCTAAATAAAAAGAAAATAATAAAAATAATTCTTCGTAAAACACAGTATTCCACTTAAGAAATATAACAAGCTAGAATGTAAGATCTGTTAAACATAATCTCTTTAATGCTTAATTGCTAATACCATTCTTTTTTTAAATAATCTTTTTTATTGTCTTCATAATTGTTGACACCTATCTCACTTAAAATTTCACCAGTTTATTAATAAATTTTTATTAGGAGTTAATTTATAGCTTATAAATTGAGCCAAACTTCATGCTTTTGTTTAATTGCTTGAAAAGTCAAACCATAGCAAATAATTTTATTGGAGTCAGATAAATTTATGAACCAATTGTTTATTTTAAGAAAAATATAAATTCTATGTATGACTTGATGGATAATTTAACTGATATACACTATAATAACTATATCAATTTGCCTTTTTCATATCAGAGCTAATTTGATTTATATTTCTCGTAAAACTCCAAAATTTGCATTGAGCTATATCAAAAATATCCATTCAATATAAATTAGACTGAATGTAATATTTTTTTGAATGGTAAAATTAAAGAAGGAATGAATATAAACATAGAGCATTTAATAACATAAATGATAGCTTATTCATAAAGTATAACATAAGGGGAAATATAATTACCATTCAAATAATCCATGAATTAGTAAATGTATGAGATACAAATAATTTGTACTTACCTAAAGTTCGTCATGAGAGAAATAAATAACATATTTATAAATGGAATTCAATCCCTTTCTGATACTCTCAATATAGCAAGATTAGTTACTTGTATAATGATTTGCTCTATTTTATTTCTTATCTATTTATTTGTCTCTTTGCCAATAATTTAGCAAATAAAGAATGAAATTTTTTAATAAAGGTAAATATTTTACTTGATACCTAAAAATCTAATCTCTTAAAATACTCATATAAGATAGTTTATACTCAAGCAATATTTATCTTGTACATAAAAATGATATTTAATTTTATATAATTTAAATTAAACGTTTCTTTATCATTAATTTAAAAAAAAGTTATTCTCTTTTTTTATTTTTTCATTTGATATTTTTTTTTTTTGACATAGTCAATTATGCCAACTGCGCCAGAAACCCTATATTATTATATATAATGTCTAAATAAAAATTATTTGAAATAAAATGCCAAGTTTCTCTCTTTTTATTATAAATCACTTAATGTAATTACACTTGTAATAAAATATTAAATTTCTCATTTTTTATTAAAAATGAGTAAATAATATTTTTTCTTTAAATTAATGACTGAATGCAATTATATTTGAAAAATAATATTAAATTTCTCTTCTTTTATTAAAAAAGACAAACTAAAGATTTTTGGTTTAAATAAAAAACTAAATTAAGAATTTTTTGGATTAAAAAATTAAGTTACTCATTTTTTATTAAAAATGACTAAATAAATTTTTTTCTTTAAATTAATGAATGACTTAATGGAATTATTTTTGAAATAAAATATTAAATTTCTCATCTTTTATTAAAAAAGACAAACTAAAGATTTTTGGTTTAAATAAAAAACTAAATTAAGAATTTTTTGGATTAAAAAATTAAGTTACTCATTTTTTATTAAAAATGACTAAATAGATTTTTTTCTTTAAATTAATGAATGACTTAATGGAATTATTTTTGAAATAAAATATTAAATTTCTCATCTTTTATTAAAAAAGACAAACTAAAGATTTTTGGTATAAATAAAAAACTAAATTAAGAATTTTTTCGATTAAAAAATTAAGTTACTCATTTTTTATTAAAAATGAGTAAATAATATTTTTTCTTTTAATTAATGACTTAATGCAATTATCTTTGAAATAAAATATTAAATTTCTCATCTTTTATTAAAAAATGACAAACTATAAATTTTTGGTTTAAAATAAAAAACTAAATTAAGAATTTTTTAGAAATAAAATATTAAGTTTCTCATTTTTTATTAAAATTGATAAGCAAATAAAGTAACTTGAATCTTTTTTTCTATAAAAAAATTGTATTTCTTATTTAACATTTGGTTTTGTTTAAAACATTTATTGCTATTTAATTTTTTATAATCTTTAAAATCAGACTAATTTGGTATTTGATAAAAAAAAAATAAAATAAGCTTAAAAAATGGCTTCTGTATAAAACATATTTGAAATAGTTGATGATGTAAAAATATATTTTAAACTAATCTTTAATATATTTATTTACTTTATTACAAAAAAGTTTCTCAATTATGATTCATCTTAATTAGGAGATCTTGAGCTATATTTTAGGTATAACAAACATATTTACTTTATTGAAAAATATTAAAAATATAATTGATGAGTATTAATTATTCTAAAAGTGGATGCTCTGTAAGTGGATAAAGACTTGTTAGGATATGCTAAAAAATAGTATTATTAAATGGCCTTTAGAATTTAACATTCAAACTAAGGTAATTTATTGGTAAAAAATAAATTTTAACTGATTAATAAAATAACTTTTAGGTGCAATCTTTTATCATTTTGTGATTTGGAAGAATTAGGAAAAAATCTTCCGAATATTAAAAATCTTATGACTCTAAACATTTTTTTGTCGTAATTTATTTAGAAAAGATTCAATCAATATCTACTAATTAAAAGAAATCAAATATAAATATAAATTTTTGATGCAAAAAATTACGCTTAAAGTATCTTCATAAAATATAAATTAAATGTAGAAGAAATAGTCTTGCAATTGATGGATTATCTTGTTTGGCTAAAGGATTGGCATAATGCAAAAATTTAACTACTTTAATGATTGAACTTAAGTAATCTCTTCCAATAATTGTTATGTTTTTTTAATGTGTTTATTTTTGTATTAAACAGTGAAAGTTTTATTAGAGATTCTCATTTGAAGGTTTTAGGTGAAGGTTTAGGATAATCTCAATCCATTTAAAATTTAACAGTTGAATTGTAGTAAAAAATATTATTTTTTTATTAAATTTTAATATTGATAAGTTAAATTAATTTTATATTTAAATTGATTTATTAGCTTATTCTATTTAACTAATTAGAAACAATGAAATTAATTCAAATGGGTTCTGTAGCTTTTCTAAAGGAGTTGCAAATATAGATACATTAGAATCTTTAAAGCTTGATTTTAAGTAAAATAATTTTGAAGTAATTGCTAAAATAAAAATAATTTAATTAAATCAAGACAAAATAAAATTGGTAGCGATGCACTTGATTAGTTTGAATAGAGTTTCTAAGAATCTAAACATCTTTCAAAGTTAAATATTAATTTTGAGTAAATAATTAATATATTTATTTATTTATGAATTAGCATCTATCCTTATATAAACTAAAATAAACTGATGGTCTTCAAATATTTTTAAATTAATATAAAAATGAAAAGATCTAATTAATATACTCTAATCTAGTTTAAAATCAGTGTTTTAGAAAGAGTTGCCAAAATAAATTGCCATTTTATAATTTTTTAATGACTCTTTTGGTGATTGAAAATTGTCAAAAAATAAATTTCTCTCTTTTTTCTATCAAAAATTAAAAAATTCAATTATATTCACAATATGATTAATTATTATCTTTAAATTATAAGAATCAACAAAATCGGCAAGGAGGATATCCAAAGTTTAATTAAAGGATTCAACAGTTGCAAAACACTAATTTCCTTAGACTTAGATTTGTGGTAAAAAAGCATATTTCAATTAACATTTAAACAAATTAAATAAAAGTCATAAATAATAAGAATATTTTAATAATTAATTTTTTGAATAGGTATAATCACATTGATAATGAATGCTTGAAAATTATTGGAAAAGAGTTAGCAAATAATAAATCAATTAAACATTTCTACCTTAATCTTAGAGTTTAGAAGTAAAATAAATTAAGAATTAGAAATAGAAATGAAATAAAAATATATATTTACTTTTTTTAAAATAATAGTGGAACAAATTTTGACGGAACAGGAATTTTTAATCTAGCTAAAGATTTAGCAAAAATAAAACACCTATTTAGTCTCGAAATTGTTACATTGTATAAATAAATAAATACATTCTTAACAAATTTAATTAAATGTGAATTAATTATTTATGAAAAGCTTATTTTTCTTTATTAACCTTGTAAATTAAAATTTTTTTTAAAAATAGAGATCCTTTTGGTTAGTCCACTAAAGAATATTTGAACTAAAAACACATTTTACAACTCAAAAAATTGCTTAGATTAGTTTCATTAAAATATTATTGAACTATAATTAATAACTTAGTGTTTATTCATTTTTGTATAAATAAAATTTTTTTTATTCAATTTTATTAAAAGTTTTTTAAAATTTAAATATTTTAAAAATTGACTGAAGCCTATTTTATTTTATTAAAATTTAAAATTACTTCAAAGTGATTAATTAAGTGGAATTCAATTTAAATTCAATGTAATGTCCTTATTACATTTATTTTTTGATTATATAAAAAACTTGATTGTTTGTTTTTTTGCTTTTTAAATTAACATGAGAACTAAGCAATTTAATTTATTTTTATTAAATATTAATTTTACTTAGTTTGATATGAAATGAATAAAAAATTAAAATTATTATTCCTAATAAAATTAAAAAAGGCTGATTTGAGTACATATGACTTTTTTTCAAAAAATTTCAGAGTAAAAAGTTAGTTAACATTTAATTATTTTTACATTAATTTTTCAACCTATCTATCTATCTACCCATTTATTTATCTTTATATCAATATATCTCTTAAGTATATATCTATCTATATAATTATCAATATATCTTTCAATAAATCTAATTACCCATATTTTAGAGTTAAGTTTGGAGTTATTAATATCTTTTTCAGTTGTTTGTTTTTTTAACTCTTAATGCTTAAAATTACAATTAAAATTGAGAGCAACTATGAAGAAAGTTTAATATATATAATTATTTCTAATATATTTTAGCTTGATAGTTTATTGAAAATAAAAAGGAGAAATTTAGAAAATGAGTATATAGATAGATAATTAGAATTAGCTTATTTCAAAATATTTGTTATTGAATTTTGATTAGGCTAGAAGTGAGTCAAAAAATTAGTATTTATAGAGAGATTGATAGATATACTTTTTGGTAAATAAGTAAATGTTGTTAAGGATTTTTAATACAATTGATAACATATAAACATTATTTTTTAGATTTTGCATTTGATTGAATACTTTTTTAAATATGTTTGCAATTTTTCTTAATTTTGTATCACCATTTCTTTTATAGATTTTATGTTCAACACATTGTAGTAATTTTCCTATTAAAAAACTAACGAATTTTAACTTAAACATTTATAAAGACAGAAAAAATGAGAAAAATAAACCAAAAAAATAAATTTATTAAAATTGTTTAAAAAATATTGTTGCAATACTGATTATTAAAGTGATAAAGAGCAAATTAGAATAGAAATTGTACATAAAATTTAGTTCTTTTCTATTTATTAATTAACTTTGCTTATTATTTTCAAAATAAAATTTCAATTTTAAATAAAATATTTAATGATATATATATTCTTATTATGTTATAATCACACATAATTAAATATTATTTTATAGAATATTTATATTAATCATTTTAAAAAATTTTATATTTCGTGAAATTGTGCATGCCTTATTAGATTTATTAGAGTCTCTAATTAACACTTTATATTAACTCTCATATTTAAATTTTTAACTCTTTTCTTCTTAAGTTTTGAAACAAATAAAGTAACCAAAATATAAAATTGATAAGGTCTATTTTAAAACAAACATTTTTTATTAATTAGATATTGTTTTTTAAATTTAGAAGTAAATATGGTAGGTTTGCTGATCGATTTATCAAGCAGCAGTTTAGTTTATTTATCTACATAGATAGGTTGGTGATTAAGTTGAGTTTATATGAAAGCCAAATAAAATATTAAAATATATTACCCAATATCTAAAATATAAATTAATTAAATCTTTATTAAAGACTTTTACCTTTTAAAGTCATAAATTGATCACACGTTGTTATTTTTTAGGATTTTATATTCTTTAAACCATATCTATCTATCTATCTATCTATCTATCTATCTATCTATCTATCTATCTATCTATCTAATTTTGCTTCTTTTAATTACTTTTTGAATCAAATATAAACTAACACATTATTATATATTTTATTTGAAAATTAGCTTGAAAAATATTTTCTAAAATTTTTAATACAATTAATTAGAAACAAATTATTATAAATTAGGATTTTTATATTGATATTTTTCAAATTGTATATATTTATTATAGATTTCCATGTATTAAATTCTTGTGGATGCTGAAAAGTAAGAATTTAGTGATTGATTTATAAATTTATACTTGATATTTATTAAATTTTATTTATTTTATCAAAATCAATTTGATAGAAAAGCTAATTAATTTATTATTAGCAAAACAGGAATATAAACCTTAAAAATTTCACTCTATATATTTAAGCCAATTGAATTATATCTCTTTCATTTTATTTAAGCAAAATTGTATATAATTTTCATCTAATCTTCTTTTTCTCTCTATTAATTAATTTTTTTAAAAGTACATTACCTTATTAAAAATGTATGATATTTTCCTTTGAAATTAAAATTGAGATTTATTCATTGATATTACCGAAATACTGGCTTAAATAAACTACCTTATATCTCTGTTTTGAAAGTAATATATTAATAATTAATTAAATTTCCATAAATTACTAATCAATATTTTTGAAAGAAAAAATATAAATGATATAAAATAATAACTATTTCGACCATCTAGAAGAAGTAAATATTAATTTATGATAAATATTATTTAAATTATTTTTATTAATAAAATAGTTTTTAAACTCTTCACTTTAATCGTTTTAGGTTCTCAATATTAATATGGATAATTGGTATATTGATTTATAAATATTATTATTATTAATGCTCTTTTAAATTTAATTTTCATCTGATTTACACTATTAATTTTCAAATTTAAATTATCATCTCTATTCATTCATTTTTATTAACACAAATATTTTTTAATTTTTTAACTTAATTTTCATTACATTTTTTTTTTTATAAAATTTAATATTTTTTGTTTGTTTTTTCCTTCTAATTATTGAACAATATATTTTTTATTCAATATTTAAAAAGGTGGAGTTAAATTGGTTATGAAGGTGCATTAAATTTAGGTACTGCTTTAGCAAATTGCACAAATCTTTCAAATTTGACACTTCGTCTTTAGTAAAAAAAGTTTATTTGTTATGGATTTTGATATGAAAATCAATTTAAAGCAATAATTTACTCTTTTAATTTTTTTATTTATTAGCTATTTATTTGATTTATTTTTCTTTTTTATTCTGCTTAATTTTTATTTATTTATTTATATATTTGTTTGCTTGTTGATTTAAAACATTTTATTATTTTCAACATTTTCTTTTATTATTCAATAATTTTTTATTATTTCATATTTTTTCTTAATTTTTTGCTTTTAATAAATTATAATTTTTTCTTCGATTTTTAAAAAGAGGAAATACAATTGGGGATAAAGGTGCATCAGGCTTAGGTTTTGGTTTAGGAAAGTGCATTAATCTCTAAAATTTGGTACTTGATCTTAGGTAAAAAGAGTTCTTTTGTTTTTTATCGTGATATTTTTGAATATAAAAATGAATTTAAAACAAAATAAATAACTCTTTTAATTAATTTATTTATTAGCTTTTTATTTGATTTTTTTTTTGTGTGTTTTTTTTTTATTTATTTTTTTGATTGTTTTTTTGTTAATTTAAGTCATTTTTTTAATTTCAACTTTAGCTTTTAATTATTTATTAATTTTTTATTATTTCATTTTTTTCCTTCTAACTAACTAATTAACCATATATTTTTTAATCAATATTTAAAAAGAAAGAATTAAATTGGTAATGAAGGTTCATCAGGCTTAGGTTCTGGTTTAAGAAAATGCACTAATTTCTCAAATTTGACACTTTATCTAAGGTAAAAACAGTTGATTTGTTTTGAATTGTTATATTTTTGAATATAAAAATGAATTTAAAAGAATATAATCACTCTTTTTAATTAATTTATTTATTTAGCTTTTTATTTGATTTATTTTTGTGTTTTATTATTTTGCTTGCTTTTTTAATTTAACTCATTTTTTTAATTTTCAACTTTTGCTTTTATTATTAATTCATTTCTTATTATTTAAAATATTTTCTTCATTTTTTCCTACTATCAAGTAAACAAACTGTTTATTTTTTTTTAAATATTTAAAAAGGTGGAACTAAATTGGTGCAATTGGTGCATCAGACTTAGGTTCTGATTTAGCAAATTGCACTAATCTTTCAAATTTGACACTTGATATTAAGTAAAAACAGTTTATTTGTTTTGGACTAAGATATGTTTCAATATAAAATAAATTAAAAAAAATATAACTAACTCTTTTAATTTATTAGCTTTTTATTTGATTTATTTTATATTTATTTATTTCTTTCTTAGTTAATTTAAATGATTTTTATAGTAAATTTTGCTTTTATTATTTATTAATTTGTTATTATTTCATAACTTTTCTTTATCTTTTCCTTTTAACTGACTAATTAACTTTTTTTTCTTAAATTTGTAAAAAGTAAAAATTAAGTTGGTGAAATTGGCGCATTAGGCTTAGGTTCTTGTTTAGCAAAGTGCACTAATCTCTAAAATTTGACACTATATCTTAGGTAAAAATAGCTTATTTGTTTTGGATTGTGATATTTTTGAATATAAAATGAATTTTAAACTATCACTAACTCTTTTAATTTATTTTTAGCTTTCTTTTTATTTTGTTAACATTATTTTTATTTATTGATTTAAAATATAATATTTTATTTAAAAATTTTATTCTAATAATTTTTTTAGTAATTTACACTAATTTATATTAAAAGTACCACCAAAAAATGTAAAGTAAAGTGCCTTAAATCAAAAAGATTAGTTGCCTTAAAAATAGAATCTTGATGATATAAAAGTGATGGAATAGGATTTAATAAATATAAAGATATTTGAATACTTTAATATAATAAATATATTTTATTTTATAATTGGATAAATTAATTAACCTAAAATTTTGATTGATAGATAGATAGATTTATCATTATTTTTAAATATATAAATTTTATATTCTTGTAAGTTAGTAAATACTTAGCTAGACATAATAAAATTTAAGAATAAAATTTACTTAAATATAACCAAATACCATTCAAAAATTTAGTGATTTGAGATCTCTATTTTTTAAAATGGCTGATATAATTTATATAAAAATTAATAATTTAATAATAGAATTTAATTTATATCAATCTTTATAATTTTTTAATTAAATTTTTATTTTTAGCCATTATATTTGAATCAAAAAATGTTTATGAAGAAGATTAAATAAGTAAGAAAATAGGAGGATTTAGAGTGTTGATAACTAGAATAATTATTAAATATTTTAAGTAATGTAATAAATTTTATATAACTAATAGTAAATAAAATATTCTATGTTATTCAAAATAATATTTAATTTAACTGAACACGAAATATTTATATAATTACTTCATTCAAAATATTATTAAAAAATTTTTAACTTGGCTATCATCATTTAGGTTAGAGAATTCTAACATAGTCAACATACATTTATTTAGGAGTTAAAAGTGTATTTTTTACTACATAATCAAAACCTAAAAGGATGTTTTCTTTAGGAATTCTTATGCTGCAACCAAGAAGCGATGAATTAGATGGATCATTAGCAACATAAGAAAATTGAGCCTATCCGTCAATGTAAAATGTAACTTCATTTTGTTTCAATAGCATACCATAAGTGTGATATTCAGAAAAGTCTAATTTTTTATAAGGAGATCTATATTAAATTCTACAGTCGCCATTATCTACCCATTAATAATAGATAAAAGTATTATAAACATATGGATAATTCTACTAAGTAGTATCGTCAAAAATACTACATTTCATTATTTAAAATTCAGTTGGATGTGGCCAACTTTCGTAATTCGTAGGAATACCAAAAAATCCTGGTTCGGATAAATCACTCTCTTTGTACTAAGTTATTTTTATTTTAGCCTCTATGTATTGATTAAAATTGAATGAAATCGCTTGAGTACTATTACTATCTATATAACCTGAAGTATAATCATATGATTTATTATTAAAAGTGACTTTTTAACGTTATGCACTGATAACCAAATTACCATCTTACACTTTCACATTATCTTTAGTGTAGATATAGTTTGTTTATTCTGTTGTTTTAAAGAAGTTATCAGCAACTCTCCAATAATTAGTGTTTAGTTAATTAAAATCATCTTTGAATACTTCAATATAGTTAGCGTAGTTAAATACATCTGGAGAAGTAGAAGGAGCGCCAGTTGTTTTATGAGTGGCAGAAGAAAGCACAAAAAGCAATCCCAAGGTAATAAAGTGAAATTGAATTTTTTTCATTATTAATATTTGTTCGCTTAGTTAATTTTTATGTTAATTTATTATATATAAAATCTGCTGTTCCTCTAACTAAAATAATGAATGAATAAAAGGGATTAAACACTTTTGTAAAAATGTAACATAAAATTAATACAATTTCTGCTATTTAATGAATTAATTAATTTATGCTTTATATCTAAAAGATATTCAGTAATATTATTTGTATTTAACTAAAAATAACTTTACTGGCTTAATTTATAATAACTAAAATGAATAAAAACTTATAAAAAATTTCTAAAACTATTTGTAAAATAATTTTATTTTAATAAAAATACATCTTTCAATCAATTAATATCAAAATATTTCAAATACTTATTGTTTAAATTTAGTAATTTATATTTTTAGTATTTAACTTTTAAGTGAGTATGAAGAAATTAATTATGTTAATATAATAGCAAAAAAAATAATTAATTTTACTGTTTTAACAATAGATATATTCCTTTATTAATTTATGTAAAAAATAAATAAATACAAAGTTGTAAAAAATTAAACTTTTTTAATAAATATTATCAAGACTAGGTTTATTTAAATGATTTATATTTAAATAGCGCTATATGTAAAATAACTTCATTATATTTTATGAAAAAGAATTAAAATTATCTAGCCAACCAAATAAACTAAAATGATTACCAAATTGATTCTTAATTTCCTATTCAACCTAAAAAATACACCCTATCCAGATTCTTGATCAGCCTGCATTAAATTAAATAAAAAAACCCACAACTTCATATATTAGTAAATACAATAACAGAAATTAATTAAAAATGTTTTTTTAGAAATACTTTGTCCAGTATATATTAATTTATATTATCAATAAGTTGATCAATATTAATTTATTTAGTTCTAATATATTTTTATACAATTTGAGTTAGTTAGTTAATTAATTATTTTTTTGTAAATCAATATAATTTTAGAATTTGATTTTAGTGTAAGTGATATGTAAAAAATTAGCATATTTAAACATTCTTTTTGATATAGAAAAATCTAGTTTATTCAATTTTATTTTAAAGAGTAAAATTTGAATTTAATAATTACATAATTTAACAAAAGGATATCTTGATAATTAAAAAAGTAGATAATGAGATTTTCATAAATTTGCCAAAGATATTAATATCCAGTTTTTAAATTAAAAACCTTACTTAATATTAATCCAGTAAAAAAAGAATGAACACATATTTAATTTAGTATTAGATCATATTTTTAAGATAAAACAAATATATTGTTTTATTTTAAGCATACATAATAGATATCAATGAATAAAATCTATTTTTTGAATACATCAAATTTGTAATACTTCCTCTAATCTTTTTAAACTTATTGTTTAAGAAATTTACATTTCTAATAATATACAAAATGTTACCAAAGTGTACTTTTGATCTTTAATGATCCAATAAATTAAATTTGGATTTTAATTTGATTAATTAATCAATTAGATTACTGAATACTGTCAAACCTTTAAGTTGAGTCTCACTAAAATTGAGGCTGAAATTTTAATTAATTTGTTATTTTTAAAAGAATTTGTGGATATAATTTTTTTTGCGTAACCTTAAATGAGAAATCACAGTAATTTAATTAATATAAATTACAATTTTTTGAATGCTTTAGAACTCATTTAACAACTGTTAGATTTTAGCATAAAAAGTACTGATTATTTGTATTAAAATTGTATATTAAAAATAAATACAAAACAAATCCTATAAAAAATGAAAAATATTAAAAATTGCTTAACATATATTTCAATATGTGCATTTCTTTTTGTTATCGCTTCTGCATCTCATAAATCTACTGGTAGCCCTTCATAACATCCTGACGTTATAAACTACAATGATTTTACTTTGTAATTTGAAGATCAGTTTAATCAAACTGAAATAAACACTTAGTATTGGAAAGTTGGTGATAACTTAGTTAGAACTAGTTAATAATTTTAAATTTATACTAAAGATAATGTGAAAATAAAAGGAGATAACTTGGTTTTAAGTGCACAGTATAATTCTACGATTTATGACCAAAAGAAATATGACTATTCTGGAGGATATTTAGAAACTAGAGGAAGTAAAGGTTTCAAATTTTAATATGGCTACGCTGAAGCAAGAATTAAATTACCTAAATTATAATTCTAGGATTCATCATTTCCAGCATTCTGGGCTCTTCCTGCTGACAACTCAAGATGGCCATATTCAGTTGAAGTAGATATTATGGAATATTGCAATGTTTGTAGTGGCGATGATAAAAATGATTATGTCTATAGTGCATATATTTATGGTAATAGATCATAATATGGAGATTGTAGAATTTGGTATAGATCCCCTATGAAATAAATTTCTTTCACTGAATATCATCTTTATGGAATGCTTTGGACTAAAAATGAAGTGACCTTCTATGTTGATGGTGTTGCTAATTATAGCTTTATTATTAGCGATCCTTCAAACAATAAAAGTGTAGGCTGTCCTATAGTTATTCCTAATAGAGATTTCTACTTAATTTTGAATTTTGCTGTCATAGAGAAATATGCAAAACCTGAGCATTACAAAGAACCTAAAGAAATGTATGTTGATTATGTTAGAGTTTATAAACTTAATAATAATTGAAAAATTACTGGCAATACTACAATTTATTTATTTAAATTTAAAGTAAGAAATGAAATTATAATATTTTTTTACAGAAAATGTATTGTTAGTCTGATTAAACATTTTTTAACTTGTATACATATTTTATAATTATTTATTCACTGTCTGTAAATTCATAAGAAATTGAAAGATTTTGAATATTTTTGAAAAATAAAAATATAATAAATAAAAAATTCTTATTTCATTTAAATATTTCTCAATAAATCTATTATATATATATTGTATCCTAGGGTATGCCTTTTTCAAGGCTATACACTGAAATTTTGGATATTAAGGTAATAAAAAATTAACGAAGATTTTCAAAATTTAATCTTTTTTTTAAAGCTAAACATTTGTCTAAATTTCTTTTAATTAAATATTGATTAGTAAAAAGGCATTTAACTCTCATCTTTTTAATTAATTATTTTAATGATTATTTTATTATGATAATAATTCAATTTCTTTTTCCAAAAATAAAATAAAATATTCAAAAATTTTATACAACTTTTATATTCAATTTTTTTAATGTACTATTAATTAAGAAATATTTAGTTATTCATTTTAGTAAATTCAATCTATATTTAATTTAACTATTCTTTTTATTTTTTTTGTTAATCTTTTGATTTCTATTTTTCTTTTTTCAGGCAATTCTCTTTTAATAAAAATAAATTTATTTTTTAGATAAATAAAAAATTTTACTTATAATTATCTAATTTTAAGCAAAAAAAAAGTAATTACTTTATTGATAAATTTAATTATTTTATATTTTTGCAGTTGATAATTTCACTGGATTTTAGAAACTTCTCATTATTACTTATAAACTCTTTAAATAACATCTTAAAAACTTTAACATAATTTTTTTTCAAAAATAATGAATGAAACTTACTCTAAGCTAAAAACTAAATTTGTAAGTTGAGTTCAGTTATTCAAACCTAATGAAATATTTTTGACTCCTTTATCAACAATTTTATTGCCCCTTTTCAAATAAATCAATTTATTAACTATTTAAATTTATTTTGGCATTTAAATCAAATAATTCAAACTTTTTTAAGTTACAAAAAGTAAATATAAAATAATTTTACCAAATTGAAAAGTTGAGATTAGTAAAGGAATTTGCATTTACAAAGTGCTGTAACAATAGTAGAAGCTACATTATGACCAATTTAATTTTTGCTTTTATAAATGAAAATTAAATCTAATTAAAAATTTAATACATTTTACAAATTAATTTTAAGTTTATTTAATTTAGTTTGAATAAAAATCTTTCACATATTTTTTTTAAAGATATAAACAAAGTGAATTTACCTAATCCCAAATTCTAAATTTATAAGTTGAGTGCAATTACTTAAGCCCAATCCAATATTTTTGGCTCCTTTATCACCGATTTTATTTTTACTTTTCAAACAAATAAATCAATTTATTAACTTTTTAAATTTGTTTTGACATTTAAATCAAAATATATCAAATAAATAATTCAAACTTTTTTAATTTATCAATAAGTAAATATAAAATAATTTTACCAAATTGAAAAGTTGAGGTTAGTAGGGAATTTACAGTTACCAAGTACAATACCAATAGTACAAGTTTATCATTACCAATTTTATTTGAGCTTTTATAAATGGAAATCAAGCTTAATTAAAAATTTAAGATATTTTAATAATTAATTGAATAAATAAATAGATCTTCATATTTAAATGCAAAAGAAATATAGCTTTATTAGATCTACATCTATTTTGAATGTGATTTGGAATAATAATTATTTCTACTAAATTTAAATATTTATCCTTTTTATAAGAGTACTATTAGATTTTGAGTAAAAAAATGTTTTTGAAGAACATTAAATATATGAGAAAATAGGAGGATTTAGAGTGTTGATAACTATATAGAATAATTATTAAATATTTAAATTAATGTAATAAATTTCAAATAACTAATTGTAAATAAAATATTCTTGGGCATTCAAAATAATATTTAACTTTAACTGAACATGAAATATTTATATAATTACTTCATTCAAAATATTATTTAAAAATTTTTAACTTGGCTATCATTTTTTAGGTTTGAGAATTCTAACATAGTCAACATACATTTATTTAGGAGTTAAAAGTGTATTTTTTACTACATAATCAAAACCTAAAAGGATGTCTTTTTTAGGAATTCTTATGCGGCAACCAAGAAGTGATGAATTAGATGGATCATTAGCAACATAGGAAAATTGAGCCTCTCCATCAATGTAAAATGTAACTTCATTTTCTTTCAATAGCATACCATAAGTGTGATATTCAGAAAAGTCTAATTTTTTATAAGGAGATCTATATTAAATTCTACAGTCGCCATTATCTACCCATTAATAATAGATAAAAGTATTATAAACGTATGGATAATTCTACTAAGTATTATCGTCAAAAATACTACATTTCATTATTTAAAATTCAGTTGGATGTGGCCAACTTTCGTAATTCATAGGAATACCAAAAAAACCTGGTTCGGATAAATCACTCTCTTTGTACTAAGTTATTTTTATTCTAGCTTCTGTGTATTGATTGAATTTGAGTGTAATTGCTTAGGTACTGTTACTATCAATGAAACCTCCAGTGTAATCATATGATTTATCATTAAAAGTGACTTTTTAACGTTATGCACTGATAACCAAATTACCGTCTTATACTTTCACATTATCTTTAGTGTAGATATAGTTTCTCTATTCAATAGTTTTAAAGAAGTTATCAGCAACTCTCCAATAATTAGTGTTTAGCTATTATTGATCGAAATCGTCTTTGAATACTTCAATATAGTCATTGTAGTTAAATACATCTGGAGAAGTAGAGGGAGAATCAGTTGTTTTATGAGTGGCAGAAGAAAGCACTAAAAGCAACCCCAAGGTAATTAAGTGAAATTGAATTTTTTTCATTTTTAATATTTGTTCGCTTAGTTAATTTTTATGTTAATTTATTATATATAAAATCTGCTGTTCTTATAGCTAAAATAATGAATGAATAAAAGGGATTAAACACTTTGATAAAAATGTAACATAAAACTAATAGAATTTCTTCTAATTAATTGATTTATGCTTTATATCTAAAAAATATTCAAGAATATGATTTGTATTTAACTAAAAAATTACTTTACTGGCTTAATAAAAAATAAATAAAATGAATAAAAACTAAAAAAAAATTCTAAAACTATTTGTAAAATAATATCATTTTTATGTAAAAGCATATTTCAATCAATCAATATCAAAATATTTCAAAGACTTAACATTTAAATTTAGTAATTTATATTTTAAGTATTTAACTTTTGAGTAGTGAGTATGCATGTAGAAATTTATAATATTAAAGTCATAGTAAAAAATTAATTATTTTACTGTTTTAGCAATAGATATATTTCTTTATTAATTTATGTAAAAAATAAATAAATAAAAAATTTTTAAAAATTAATCTCTTTAATAAATATCATCAATATTAGGTTTATTTAAAAGGTTTAAATTTAAATAGCGTTATATGAAAAATAATTTAACTATCTTTTATAAAAAAGAGCTAAAGTTATCTTGCCTTGTTAAATAAACTAAAATTATTACCAAGTTGATTCTTAGTTTCCTATTCAACCTAAAAAATAAATACACCCTATTCAGATTTTTGATCAGTCTAAATTAAATTAAATAAAAAAACCCACAACTTCATATATAATGCAAATACCATCAAAAAAATTAATTAAAAATGTTTTTCTAGAAATACCTTGTCCAGTATATATTAATTTATATTATCAATAAGTTGATCAATATTAATTTATTCAATTCTAATTTATTTTTATACAATTTGAGCTAGTTAGTTAATTAATTAACTTTTTATAAATCAATACAAATTTAGAATTTTATTTTAGTGTAAGTAATTTGTAAAAAATTAGCATATTTAAGCATTATTATTTGATATAGTTTAAAAAGAAAAATCTAATTTATTCAATTTTATTTTTAAGATTTATTCTTGAATTTAATTGTTACATAATTTAATAAAAGTATATCTTGATAATTAAAAAAGTAAATAATGAGATTATCTTAAAATCACCAAAGATTTTCTATTCAGTTTTTAAATTAAAAGCTTAACTAAATATTAATCCAGTAATTAAAGAATACAAATAAATTTAATTTAGTAATAGATCATATTTTTAAGATAAAACAAATATATTGCTTAATTTTAAGCATGCATGATAGATATTAATGAATAAATTCTATTTTTTTAAGATACATCCAATGTTTCATACTTTCTCTAATAGTTTTAAACTTATTGTTAAAAAACTTACATTTCTAATAATTTATAAAATGTTATCAAAGTGTACTTTTGATCTTTAATATTACAATAAATTAAATTTTGATTTTCATTTGATTAATTAATTAATCTATTAAATTACTGAATACTGTCAAACCTTTAAGTTGAGTCTCACTATAATTGAGGCTGAAATTCTATCTAAATTTGAAATTTAAAAGAATTTGTGGATATAATTTTTTTTTGCTTGCTTAACCTTAAATTAAAAATCACAGTAATTTAATTAATACAAATTACAATTTTTTGAATGCTTTAGAACTCATTTAAAAACTTTAAGATTTTAGCTGAAAAAGCTCTGATTATTTGTATTAAAATTGAATAATAATAAATACAAAACAAATCCTATAAAAAATGAAAAATATTAAAAATTGCTTAACATATATTTCAATATGTGCTTTCCTTTTTGCTATCGCTTCTGCATCTCATAGTTCTACTGGTAGTCCTTCATAACATCCTGATGTTATAAACTATGATGATTTTACTTTGAAATTTGAAGATCAGTTTAATCAAACTGAAATAAACACTTAGTATTGGAAAGTTGGTGATAACTTAGTTAGAACTAGTTAATAATTTTAAATTTATACTAAAGAAAATGTGAAAATAGAAGGAGATAACTTGGTTTTAAGTGCACAGTATAATTCCACGATTTACGATCAAAAAAAATATGACTATTCTGGAGGATATTTGGAAACTAGAGGAAGTAAAGGTTTCAAATTTTAATATGGCTACGCTGAAGCAAGAATTAAATTACCTAAATTATAATTCTAGGATTCATCATTTCCAGCATTCTGGGCTCTTCCTGCTGACAACTCAAGATGGCCATATTCAGTTGAAGTAGATATTATGGAATATTGCAATGTTTGTAGTGGCGATGACAAAAATGATTATGTCTATAGTGCATATATTTATGGTAATAGATCACAATATGGAGATTGTAGAATTTGGTATAGATCCCCAATGAAATAAATTTCTTTCACTGAATATCATCTTTATGGAATGCTTTGGACTAAAAATGAAGTGACCTTCTATGTTGATGGTGTTGCTAATTATAGCTTTATTATTAGCGATCCTTCAAACAACAAAAGCATAGGCTGTCCTATAGTTATTCCTGATAGAGATTTTTACTTGATTTTGAATTTTGCAGTCATAGAGAAATATGCAAAACCTGAGCATTACAAAGAACCAAAAGAAATGTATGTTGATTATGTTAAAGTTTATAAACTTAATAATAATTGAAAAAAATACTAATAATACTACAATTATATAAATTTAAAATAAGTAAGTAAGTAATGAAATTATTATATTTATTATTTAAAGAAAATGTATTGTTTGTCTTATTAAGCATTTTTTAACTTCTTTATATATTAAATAATTATTTATCCTCTTTATAAAAATTAATAAGAAATTAAAAGATTTTTGAAAATTAAAAATAAAAATAAAAAAAAATATTTCTCAACATATATATTATATATTTGTATAATACCCTAGGGAACAGCCTTTTTTCAAGGCTATACACTGAAATTTTATTGCCTATTTTGATGACTTTTTATTGATTTTTTGATATTAATAAAATATGGAAACCCTATCTTTGATAAGAAATTCTATATTTTAATAACACATAAAGAAAAAGATTTTATTTTATGTAGTTTCTAACATTAAAAACACCATAATATATAAATCATTTTAATTGATTGTTTTACTGATAATAATATTATTATAATAAATCATTTGCTTTTTCCAAAAATTAAATTAAATATTAAAAAATATATATACTCATTATACAACTTTTAAATTAAATGTTTTTAATGTACTATTATAAATAATATTTAGCTATTCATTTTAGTAAATTCAATCTATATTTAATTTAACTAATCTTTTTATTTTTAAAGCTAATCTTTTGATTTCTATTTTTCTTTTTTCTGGCAATTCTCTTTTAATAAATATAAATTTATATTTTAGAAAAATAAAAAATTTTATTTAAGATTATCTAATTTTAAGCAAAAAAAAAGTAATTACTTTGTTGATAAATTCAATTATTTTATATTTTTGCAGTTGATAATTTCACTGGATTTTAGAAACTTCTCATTATTACTTATAAAATAAAGATATTTTAAATATCATCTTAAAAACTTTAACATAATTTTTTTTTCAAAAATAATAAATAAAATTCACTCTGAGCTAAAAACTAAATTTGTAAGTTGAGTACAGTTACTCAAACCTAATCCAATATTTTTGACTCCTTTATCACCAATTTTATTGCCCCTTTGAAAAACAAAAATATAAATCAATTTATTTACTATTTAAATTTGTTTTGACATTTAAATCAAAATAAAAAAAATAATTCAAACTTTTTTTAGTAATGAAAAAAAAAATAAATACTAAATCGAAAAGTTGAGATTAGTAAGGAATTTGCAGTTACCAAGTGCTGTAACAATAGTAGAAGCTCCGTCATCACAAATTTAATTTGAGCTTTTATAATTGAAAATAAAATTTAATAAAAAATTGAATTTAAGTTTATTTTAATTTAGTTTGAATAAAAATCTTTCACATATTTTTTAAAAAGTTTTAAACTAAATGAATTTACCTTATGTCTAATTTTAAATTTGTAAGTTGAGAGCAATTACTCAAACCTAATCCAATATTTTTGGCTCCTTTATCACCAATTTTATTTCCACTTTTCAAACAATAAAAATCAATTTATTAACTACTTAAATTTGTTTTGACATTTAAATCAAAATATATCAAATAAATAATTCAAACTTTTTTAAGTAATGAAAAAATAAATATAAAATAATTTTACAAAATTGAAAATTTGAGATTAGTTAGGAATTTGCATTTACCAATTGCTGTTCCAATAGTTAAAGCTCCATCATACCCAATTTAATTTTCGCTTTTATAAATGGAAATCAAGTTTGATTAAAAATTAAAGACATTTTATAAATTTTAAGTTTATTTATTAATAAATACAGTTTGAAAAAAAAGCTTTCTCATAATGTTTTTTAAGTTATAAATGAAATAAATTAATTTACCTTATGCCTAACTCTAAATTTGTAAGATGAGTGCAGTTACTCAAACCCAATCCTATATTTTTGGCTCCTATATCACCAATTTTATTTCTACTTTTCAAATAATATAAATCTATTCATTTACTACTTAAATTTGTTTTGACTTTTAAATCAAAATATATCAAATAGTTTAAACTTTTATAAGTAATGAAAAATAAAAATTAAATAATTTTACCAAATTGAAAAGTTGAGATTAGTAAGGAATTTGCAGTTATCAAGTGCTGTACTAATAGTAGAAGATCCATCATGCATAATATAATTTTCGCTTTTATAAATAGAAATCAAGTCTAATTAAAAATTTAAGATATTTTATAAATTTTAAGTTTATTTAATACAATTTGAATAAAAATTTTTCTCATAATTTTTTTAAAGTTTTTTATGAAATAAATCTACCTTATTGTTTTAATTTTTTTTATTTTTAACCTTTTAATTAATAAATAAATTATTAATAAGAATCAGGAATATCAAGATTATATAATTTGAAAATCTGGTTAGCTTAAAATGTAATATTAAAATGACAAACTATAAAATTTATAAACATAAAGAAAGTTACAAAACTATCTTGCTAAATTTAGCTTAAATTACTCTATTAAAAAAAAATATTAAATACATAAAAATTAATTTGTTTATTTCTTTTTCATAACTTTCATGCGTAAGTTTCAAAAAGATATATTTTTAATAACTAGCCTCTTTGATTTAAGATAGATGCTCATTAATATCAATGTATGCGAACTTAAGATTTGTTTATCACTTATTAATTAATTTGGAAATAAAAAATTAATAACAAAAAAATTTTAAATTAAAATAAATAAATACATAAAATTAATTACAATAGAAATAAAATAAAAAATTAATAAATAAAAGCTAATAAGTAAACTAAAAGAGTTAGATATATTGTATAAATTCATTTTATACTTTAAATTATCACAGTCTAAAACAAATAAACTGTTTTTACCCTAAATAAAGTGTTAAACTTGAGAGATTAGTGCAATTTGCTATAGCCGAACTTATATCTGATATTCCTTTTGTGCCAATTTAACAACCACTTTTTAAATTTTATAGAAAAATATTATTAGTTTGTTAGAAGGAAAAAATGAAAAAATAGATATGAAATAATGAGAAATGAATTTTTAATTAAAGATAGTAGTATTTGAAAATCAAATATGAAAGTAACTAACAAAAATGGGAGAACAAGAATCAAAAAGCTAATAAAAAATAATTAATAGAAAAATTTTATAGTTTTTTATTCATTTTTATATTAAAGATGCCACATACTAAAAATAAAAAATAAATTGTTTTACTTGAGATAAAGTGTTAAATTTGAGAGTTTAGAGATTTTTACTAAACCAGAGCCTAAGATTAACGCTCCTATTTCACCAATTTAATTGTTACTTTTTAGATATGAAGGAAATATAATTAGTTAGTTAGTTAGAACATGAAAATTAATAAAAGAAATATAAAATGTTGAGAAATTCTTATCAAAGCAAAAGTTTACAATTAAAAAATTAAGGAAAAAAACAAAACTGCAATAAAATATAGTTGAATTAAAAGAATTTTATGACTTTAAATGAACTTTTATAATAAGAAATATTACAATCTAATACAAATAAACTGTTTTTACCCTAAATCAAGTTTCAAATTTGAGAGATTACGGCAGTCTGCTAAAGCAAAACCTAATTTTGATGCACCTTCAGCACAAATTTAATTACCACTTTTAAATATTGAAGAAAATTTCATTAGTTATGAGTAAAAAACAAACGAAGATAAAAAGATTTGAAATTATGATTAGAAATTAATTTATAACCAAACTAAATGTTAAAAATTTTAAAATGAGTGAATTAAGAGAAAAAAAAGAATCAAATACCATTAAATAAATTAATTATTACATTTTATATTTTTAAATTAATGTTATATTATGAAAGAAATTATAATCTAAAACAAAAAAATTGTTTTTACATAAAATAAAATGTTAAATTTTCACACATTAATTCAGTTTTTTGAAGAAAATACATTATGTTAGTTATAAGGAAAAATTGTAAGAAATTAATTAGTAAAGCTTTTTATTTTATTTTATTGCTTTTAATTCTTACTTGTCTTCTTCTTATTATTATTATTATTATTATTATTATTTTAGTTTATTCTTTAATTTTGAAATTTTGCTTTGATAATTAAATAAATAAATTAATTAATTAAAAATGTTTTTATTATTTTAATTAATTTTTTATTAAAAATATTACTAACCAACAGAAATTTCTAAGTTTGAGAGATTAGTGCAATTTGTCAAAGCAAAACTTAAGTCTGATATACCAATTGAACCAATTTAACTACAACTTTTTAAATATTACATAAAATATAATTAGTTAGTTAGCTATTAAAAAGGAAAAAATAAAGTAATAAATATGAAAAAAAAATAAGAAATTAAGATATTTTAGACTTCTTTGCATAAATTATATTTATTTATATATTGTATAGGTATGCAAAAATTGTTTTGAGAAAAAGTTATTTTATGTATATTTTGTGACCACTAAAAAAAAAAAATTATTAAAAAACTAGAATATTGTGTAATAATATAATAGCGATGATTTGGTATATCACCAAAATTAATTCATTGTAAAAAAAAAGTTTAAAATTTAAAAATGAATAAATTCAGAAAAAATAATAATCTCAGAATTAAAAAGATAAAAAATTAAAATTTTAAATAATAGAAGTTTTTTATTTTAAATTAACTTTTATTATAAAAAATATTTTTTTACTAGAAATTAAGTGTTAAGCTTTTGAGATTAGCGCAGCATGCTAAACCAGAGCCTAATCCGGATGCACCTTCATCACAAATTTGATTTTCGCTTTTTAAACATTGAAAAAACAATCACCCATCATTAAAAAGAAAAAATATGCAAAATAAGAAATTAATCTGAAATAAAGGCAAAAGTTAAAATTAAAATTAAAATTAAAGAATCAGTTAGTTACTTAGTTAAATTAAAAGAAAAAAGAAAAATAGGAATAAAAAAGTAAATAAATAAAATAAAAAGCTAATAAATCAATTAATAAAAAATTATATATATATGTAATATCATAATACAAAATAAATAAACTGATTTTACCCAAGATAAAGTGTCAAATTTGATAGATTAGTGCACTTTGCTAAAACTTAACCTAAGTATGTTGTATCTATCGCTCTAATTTTATTACTTCTTTTTAAATTTCAAAAAATTATAAGGAGTTATTTATAGCAAAAAATGAAATTATTAGAAGTTAAAAAATAAAAAAATAAATTAAAATAATAAAAAAACTAAATATTAATTTAAAAGCAAGCAAGAAAGCAAACTATTTAAAAATATTAATAGTTTTATTTCATTTAATTCATAATTTTATTTTTAAAATATCACATTTTAAAAAAATAAACTGATTTTACCCAAAATAAAGTGCCAAATTTGAGAGATTAGTGAACTTTGATAGAGTAGAATCTAAGCCAGATAAATTAATTTAATCAATTATATTATAGCTTTTTAAATATTAAAGAAAATTTAATTACAAAGAAAGAAAGAATAAATGAAGGAAAAATATCAAAAAAATAGAAATTAATATTTTATTAAAGAAAAAGCAGAAAAATAAAAATGAGTTACAGTGGGTGGGGATGAATTTTATTTTATTATGAAAATTTTAAAGAGCAAATTATCTACTAATTTATAATTTTATGTTTTTTTTTATTAAAATCAAAAAAATTACCCTCACAAAAAATTATATTATGAGGAAAAAATATTCAAAATAAACAAATTAAAAGAAAAGCTAATAAATAAATTAAATGATTTTATTTTTTAAAATTGATATTTACACTAAAAAATATCACAAAAAAAATAAATTTTACCTAACATCAAGTTCAAAAAATGAGAGATTAGTACAATTTGCTTAAACATGACCTAATCCTGATACAAACTTTGCACTAATTTTATTACTTCTTTTTCAATATCAAAATAAAATAGAATGAATTAGTAATTTACAAAATAAAAAAAGATTAAATAATGATAAATTAACTATAATTTAAACATTAAAATATAAGTTAAAATAACAAAAAAAATAGAATCTGAATTAAAAGCAAATAAACAAATAAAAAATTTTCAATATTTTTTGTCTTAAATTAATTTTATTAAAAAATTAATTAAGCAAAAATAAATAAATATTATTTTTACTAAAGTTTAAGCTTTAAACTTGAGAGATTAGTACAGCTTAATAGAGCCTAACTTAAGCATAATGCTCCTTTATCACCAATTTTATTACTGCTTAAAAGTTTAAGATAATATAATATAATATAATTAATTAATTAGTTAGTTAGTTGGTTTTAAGAAAAATGAAAATATAAAATATAATAAACTAATTTATAATTAAATCGAAAGTTTAAAATAAAAGATTGAGTAAAATTAAGAACAGAAACAAAAATTTAGAAATAATTTTATTGCTTATTATTAAAAAATATCACATTCCAAAACAAATAAACTGTTTTTACTTAAGATCAAGTACCAATTCTGAGAGATTAGTATATTTTGCTAAAACAGAACCTAAGTCTGTTGCTCCATTTGCATCAATTTAATTATTACTTTTTAAATATAGAAGAAAATATAATAATTAATAAGTTAGACAATAACGAAAAATGAAGAAAAAACAAGAAATAATAAAAAATTAATTAATAGTAAATATTAAGTTAGAAAAATATAAAACAAATTAAATTTAGAGTAAAAGAGTCTAAAATGCAAATTGTTAAATAAAAAATATTTTATTGTTTCAAATAAAATAGATATAATTAATTATTCAACAAAAATATATTTTTTTACTTGAGATAAAGTGTCAAATTTGAGAGATTAACGAACTTTTATAAAGCTTCACTTATTCCTTTTATAAACTTTGCACCAATTCTATTGTAACTTTTTTAATATTGAACAATATATAATTATGGTAAAATCTCTAATTCAAAATGCTTTTAAAATAAAGATAATTTTAATTTATTTATTTCTTATCCATAAATTTAAAAAATAAAATCAAGATAGCGATTCTAAAAATACTCCTCCCTCACCAAGAAAAAGCAAATGAAATTCAAAAAGTAAATAAAAATAATAAATAAATAAATAAATAATTTAATTATAGAAATTTTATTACTTTTTAAATTTATTTTTATATTAAAAATATCTCAATTCAAAACAAATAAACTCTTATTACCTAAGATCAAGTTTTAAATATAAGAGATTAGTGCAATTTGTCGTCTAAGTAGAACCTAAGTCTGATGCATCTTAGTCACTAATTTAATTACTTTTACTGTAATAAGATATAATTGTAATTATTTAAAATGAAAAATATAAAATAATAAGATATTAAGGAATAATCATATAAAAAGTTGAAAATTAAAAAATAAGCTAAATTTAAAGTTAATAATTAGAATTAAAAAGCAAATAAATATATTATAAGCTTTTAAATAAACTAAAATAATTTTATTGTTTTAAATTTATTTTTAAAAGAAAAATACTACAATCCAAGGAGAGTAAAGAATTTTCCAAAAGCAGAAAATAAATTTGGAAAAGCAATCTCATCACTAATTTAATTTCCTCTTTTAAATATTCAAGAAAAAATAATTAATTAAAAAAAAATAAAGAATAAATATAAAATAATTTGAAATAAAAATTGAAAAATTAGTAAAGTTAAGAGATTAAAGACATAATTAAAATTAAAAATCTAATAAATCAATTAAGAATTAATTTTTTTATGTTCATTTTTATATGAAAAATATAATAATCTTAAATATATAAACTGCTTTTTACATAAGATAAAGTGTCAAATTGGAGAGATTTGTGCAATTTACTAAAGCACAAATAGCATCTAATGCTTATTTTCCACTAATTAGATTATTACTTTTAAAATATTATGAAAATTTAATTAATAAATTCATTATTTTTTTTGAAAAATATGATAATTAACAATCAATGCAAAAGATGAAATTTAAAAAAGAAGGTAAATTAAACAAATTTATCAGAATCAATAAGCAATAAGATCAAATAAAAAACTTAAAATCATATTAATTGAAGAAATGTTATTGTTTTAAATTCATATTTATATTTAGAAATATCACAATCAAGAATAAAAAAGCTGATTTTACTTGAAATTAAGATTCAAATTTTAGAGATTAGTGCATTTTACTAAAGCTTAGGCTATCTCTGATGCACCCTTTTCATTAATTTAATTATCCCTTTTTAAATATTTATGAAAATATTATAAATTATTAACTTAGAAGGGTAAAATAAAGAAAAAATAAAAATATGAAAAAATAAGAAATTGAAAAATTCAATAAGCAAAATTGAAAGATTAAAGATAAGTTAAATTAAAATAAGATAATAAGAATTAAAAAGTAATTACACAAATTAAAAGCTTAAAAATATATAAATAAAAAGAATAAAATGTTAATTTTAATAGTTAAAAATATTGCATTTCTAAACATATTAATTCATTTTACTTAAGGTTAAGTGTCAAATTTGTGAGGTTAGTGCAATTCTTTAAAGCAGAAGCTAATGCCAATGTACCTGTATCTCCAATATAATTATGTCTTTTTAAATATTAAATAAAAAATAAATAAATTAATTAATTAATTAGTTAGTTAGTTAGTAAAAAATGGACAAATAATAAGAAATTATTGGAGATAAAGATTAGAGGCTGGATAATGCGCACAAAGAATTTTTTTGAACCATAATTTATTTAGGTAGTTATTAAACTACATGAATTAATCTATCACTAAAATTCTTTACTTATAATGATTGATTAAAAATTTAAGTAGATTTTTTCATAAAAAAATAAATTAAATTTTATATTATGTAAAATGTTTTAAGTTGTGCTCTAATTAATATTTTTATATTTAGCGCGCACTGTGCACACTCAACCAAAAGATAGGAAATTATTTATTAGTCATAACAAAAGTAGAAAATAAAAAAGTGAGTTTGATTAAGATAAAAAAATAAATAAATTAAATAAATAAAAATTTATTTATTTTTATGTTAGAATATAGAAAATAAACTGTTTTTACTCGAAATAAAGTTCCAAAATTTTAAGATTTGTACACTTTGCTAAACCAAAAGCAAAATCTGCTGCACTCTTTGCATCAATACGATTCCAACTTTTTAAATATGAAAATATTGTTAAATAATTAGCTAGAGAATGTAATTATAAAATACTAATTAATAACCAAAGCAAAATTTGTAAAAAAAAAAAAACATAAAACACAACTAAGATCAATAAGCAAATAAAATAAATTAATTTATAATTTTTATGGTAATTTTAAATTTACTTTTTAAATAAATTGACATATTCCCATACTAAAATAATAGCTGATTATCTAAAATAAAATAAAGCTGTTTTTACTTAATATTAAATGTCAATTGTGAGAGATTCATGCAGCCTGCTAAAGCTGAATCTAAACATGCGCCGACTTAATTGTTACTTTTTAAATATTAAAGAAAATTTAATTATTTAGTTTGAAGAAAAAAAACGAAGAAAATATAAAAAAGTAAAAATTGAAAATTAAAAAATTATTTAAATTAAAAAAAACTCAATCCTAGTAAAAAATCAAATAAATCAAATAAAAATTAATGAATAAACTAATTTAAAGAGGTTTATAGTTTTAAAATCAATATGAAATTAAAATATTGCAATCAAAAACAAATAAACTGTTTTTACCGAAGATTAAGTGTCAAGCTTGAGAGTTTAGTGCATTTTGCCAAACCAGAAACTAATTTTGTTGCACCGATTGCACCAATATTATTAATGCTTTTTAGGTATTGAAGAAAATAAATTTTATTTGATAAAAAAGGTATGAAAAATAAAAATCTAAGGTAATTTAAGCAAAAATAGAATAATACAAAAAGGGCTAAAAAAAATTAATAAAAAAATAGAATCAGAATTAAAAACAAACAAATCAAATAAAGAGCTCATAAATAAATAAATTTTTACCCAAGATTAAGTGTTAAATTTGAGAGATTAGCACAATTTGCTAAATTAAAACCTAATCCTGATGCTTCTTCGTCATCAATACTATTTTCACTTTTTAAATATAGAAGAAAATAAAATTAGTTAGAATAAAAAAATATGAAATAATAAGATATTAATTCATGATAAAAACATAAATTGAATACTAAAAAACAAATTAATTTAAGAAGATAAAAATAAAATCTGATTAAAAAGGTAAAAAAATTAAATCAAAAAATAAATAAATTTTGAGTTTTATTGTTTTAAATTTTTTTTTTATTAGAAAAATATGATAAAAATCCTAAGCAAATAAGTTTTTTTACCCAAGATCAAGTGTCAAATTTGAGAGATTAGAGCACTTTGCCAATGCTGAATTTAATTCTGACAAATCTTAATTTGAATTTATTTTCTCTCTATATTATTATTTTTGAACAAAATATAATTAATTATTAAGTTAGAAGAAGAAAAAAATATGAAACAATAAGAAATTAATGAAATAATTAAAAATCAAAGCAAAAGTAGAAAATAAAATATTATTTAAATTTTGCATGAATGCAAATATGAGTAATTAATTATTTGAAAAAAAAAATATTTAAGTAAATTTATAAATAGAAATGAAATAAATAAGATTAATTTTAATAAATTTAAATTTACAAAAGATTAATACGGAGAACTTAATGAGATTAATGTGAAGAGATTAAGAACTTTTATTACTCATAAAAATAATTGTTAAGAATATTAATTTTTCTAAAAAATAATTACAGGTTGTAGACTAGAATAGTAATTATTCTATTATATCATTTTTTTTCTCAAGAATATCGAATATCAAATATACTAAATTTAATTAATTAATCTTCTAATAAGCTAATATATTTGTTTTCAAAGTTATTAATAATTCTATAAAAAATTAGTGGATTTACTAGAATTGATAAATCTAAAAGTTTCATAAGACGTTATGAATCAACCATTTTTCTATTTATAGTTAAATACCTATATAAAAATTGAATGTTTTTGAAGTGTCTATAAATTATTTATTTAAAATAAAATTTTTGCAAAATCAATAGTTTAATATTATATTTAAATTATAATAATAAGAATTTTATGCATTTCATTAATTAATTAATTGATATATATAAGATAAGATAGAAAAATTTTTAGCTTAAATATAAAAATTTATTAATTATTTGTAATATTTAATTTAATAAAAAAAGTAAGAATCAACCATAAATTTTATTACAAATAAAAATAATTTCCTTCAAACAACTTTTTAAAATAATAATAAAATTTATTTAAAATTTTCATTAAATTTTAAATTAGATTATTACATGAATTCATTTACTTTAGTTTATATTTTCAATGTTTAAATTCAAATAATATTTATTAACTTTATTAATAAGTGAATATAAAAATAATCTTCAGTTAAACATTCCAATATGATAAAGAAGCGCGAAATAGAATCAGAAAACTACTTTTTGAAGGAACAAAACACATTTAGATAATTATTTATTAAATGGATTTTTAAGGGAATGGTTTTAATGATTATGAGATAAAACAAAAAAACATGAAAAGAAAGAAGGTGAAAGGAAAGAAATATAAGAAATTTAAATTAATTAAGGATTTTGTTGCTGCTTTTTCAACTCAAAAAGTGAAATAAAAAACAAAAGTTAAGCAAATAAGGTGATCAGCAAATAAAAAATAAATTGAAATTAATGTAATTTATTTAATAATTATCATATATTTTTGAATGTAATAAGTTAAGTTCTATTTATAATAACATTTAAATCTGATTTAATTTTAACAAATAATTAAGCAAAAAGTAGAAGTAATAAAAATACATTAATTCATTCATTCATTATAAAGATTTAAGTTGAATAGGAAAATGGACATTAAAAACGATTTAGAGCATTTTGATGATTCAGAGTAGACTTCTCAAAAGTATAAATACAAGCTTTTTTATTTGATAGATAAAATGATAGATTTTCATCATAATTCTTTTCTTATTGAAGCAATATTTATATTCATACAAACAATCTAATTGATTGGATTAATAGACTCAGTTTGGATGCGTAATACTAGTTTAACAAATGATATTTTATATCTTATGCAAAGATTCCTCTTTGTCCCCTTTTTAATGAACAATGGCTATGTAAGTTAGTATCAAGATTTATTCTACTTTAGTTCTAGTTTTATTATCATTTTAATTATGTCTTTTGCTTCATCATCGCTACTTATTGAAAAAAATGGAAGTGCAAACTAAAAACTTAAATCCTCCCATAAGATCATTTTCTGTGCTTTAGACTTTACAGTAAATACCTTAACCTAAGTTCTGTATATTCCTTTCTTCTAGCTTTTTGCTTCCATTTTCTAGTGTGAAAAAAACTCAAATTATAAATATTCTTCTACTTTCTCTTAAGATACTTATTTTGATGTTGTCACCAAAGATGAATGCTTCTCAGTTATTAAAATCTCAAGCATCATTATATCTATTGTTTGTATGGCCGTATTACATTTGTTTTGTAGCTATATCAATTAAGTCTATTATGATCCAAGACTAGACTGCACCTACAAAAACTCTAAACTGAGTGGAGACTATGAATTAAGTATTTAATACTTTGTTACTTCTTTCTGCATAGTTGCATCTTTGCTGTTTGAAGATAGGTACCAAGTAATTGAAATTACAATGTCAGTTGTATGGTGGTTTTATTTATTAAAACTTTTACTTAATAACATGCTACATAACTTCAACATATTGCAAAAAATAAAATTATAGCAGGCCTTCATTATATTTTTGACAACAGTTATTGGGGTTTATAATTATTTCTTCCCAGGAAGCACTGTTGTTGCTTTTTTTTGGATAGTTGGAATTATATTTTTTACTATTTTTAATATATATTTTGAACCAGTTACCAACGAAATATGTGCTGCAAATTCTTTTAATCACAAATATGCCTAAGATGCTCTCTAGCAATTGAGAGTATTATGCTATGCAATTTAGAAATATGATCAATATTCTATAAAAGTGGATGGTTTCTTAAATAGACACAGAAATGATTGTATAGAACCTTCTTGTCCTTCAAGGTGCAATTCTGTTCGCATAAAGAAGATTAGCAGAATGCTAGTTAATCAAACAACTAACGAGGACTTAATAATGAGCATTTCTGTTATTTATACAATTTTTCACAGCAATATTGAAAAATTTGCAGGATCTAATAAAATTAGGATACTTTACGCATTATTTTTGTTTGAGACAATTTAAAATAAAGATTAGTCACTTATTTAATTGTCATTTGTATCTCAGAATCAGCCAACTTTATAAGAAGAATTTATGTCTTACAGGTTGAGGAAGATTATAGTCCAGTAATCAAATCAGAATGAATACAAAAGTAAATTATTCTTTTATTAAAAAGGCAAAGATTTTAACATTCAAACATACAAGCAAATTCTCAGACTTATTTATTATCAATTTGAATTAGAAACTCATTAATTTTGATTAATTTAAATAAATTATTATTATTACTTCTAAAAATCCCCATATTAAATCAAAAAATCATTAATTTTTCTATTAATTAATGAGTAGTTTTGGCATTATTAAGTTATTAATAATATGATGCAAATTAGTGCTCAATTTTAAATTAAAAAGTAATTAGTTTCTCTATTAAATAATAATAAATTTTCGCATTACAAAAGTAATTGAATTACTTCCAGCTTATTTTACATTATAAGATATGGTGTTTCTATTAAAAAAACAATGAATTTTGAAAATATAAAATAATTGATTTTGCTTCAATTTTACATTTAAAATGGCAAAAATTTTAACATTCAAAAATACAAGCAAATATACAGAATTATTTATTAAAATTAACTTTGATTAATTTAAATAAATTATTATTATTGCTACTTCAAAAAAATTCCCATATTAAATCAAAAAATCATTAATTTTTCTATTAATTAACGACTAGTTTTGTATTATAAAGTTATTAATAAAATTATGGAATTAGGGCTTAATTTTAAATTAAAAAGTAATTAGTTTTTCTATCAAATAACAACACAACTTTGTATTATAAAAGTAATTGAATTACTCCCAGGTTATTTTACATTAGAAGATATGATTTTTCTATGAAAAAACAATGAATTTTGAGAATATAAAATAATTTATTTTGTACCAATTTTTCATTTAAAAAAGCAATAAATTTTTCGATGAAACACAATTAATTTTTTCCTTAATTTAATCAACATAGAATTAGATTTTTCTTCTGAATTAAGCATTGAAGAATACTCTAATAAGTTCAAAAAAACCTTGAATATTACAATGCAAAATTATCTTAAGTTTTGGCAAGAATTACTTGAGCAATCACCTTTAGCTTAAAATCTAATAGTTAAGGGTAGTTATGTTTTGCAACAGAGTGAAGCTATAAAAAATTAGTTTGAATAATTAAAGCAACAAGTTAGTATTAATTAATCTGCCTTTCGCTATTTCTAAACTTTTTGCCTAAATTTTTTGGAAGATAAAGAGCTCTTTTAAACTTTGCAGAGACAAGATTAAGATCAAAACTACAGAATGGAAGATGATGATTTAAATAATTTATAAGAAGAAGAATTTTATACTCAAGGAACCATTATGATAAGCTCATAAGAAGAAAGCTTTGCAAACATAATTGAAGTTAACAGTGAAATGCTAAGAATAATAGGATTTCCAAAATCTTAAGTCTAATCTAAAAATGTTTCTTTTTTAATTCCTAGCATCTGGCAGCAATATCATAATCAATTTATTGACTAATTTCTAGCTACAGGGAAAAAAAAATTGATAGGTAAAAATTATCTCATACTCTTTTAATGATTAAAAATTTCTCCAGTGTGAAAGGGAGCACAAAATTAATAATTTTTTTTACAAAAAAACTCTAAGGTGGCTTCATGCTAAATTATCCTGAGCATTTTTTTAAAATATCTCATTTCATAACCCATTCATTTTCAGAGTTAAAAAATATATTATAATATATGCTTATTGATAAAATAATATAGAAATTTTTAATTACTTTTATTATAATAATGTGCAGATTTTCTTAATTTGATTTTTTATTAAATTGTATTTTTAAAAAAAATAAAATGATCTATCTAATTAAAATATTTAAAAATAGGTAAAAAAAGGGATTTATTTATAAAGAGTAAACAGGATTATTCAATTCCAATTAAGTTGGTTCTTAAGAGTATTCCTTCACATACTTAAGGCTTATTATTTTAAGCATCGATTATTGCTTAAAATTTACTCTATGATTATCCAGCTTTTATAATAACAAAAGTTAATGGGTAGATTGAAAGTATTTCTCCAAGTGTAGTTGCTATGTTTAATATTGATATGAAAAAGATTAAGTAAGGCATGTACATTGAAAAAATAATTCCTAATTTTTGGGAATACATCTTTGAATTTCAACAGAAACAGGGAAAAGAGCTCATTTTAAAGACTTACTAAATGAAGATGATGAAAGAATCTAAAGTCAAGATAAATGTTGAACAAATAAGATTTATGAATTTGGGTTCTTAAGGTTACATAATTAATATAAAATTATCTAAAAATGATTTAAAGGACCAATTTTCTCTTTAAAAAACAAAAAATTAAGATTAGTGTTTATTAAAAAAGCAACCTACATTGAATCAATTTCACAAAGATTAAAATAATAATCTATCTCAAACTGATGATTAAAGCCCAAGAAATTTAAATGAGTTTTCATTTTAAAATGAAGACTCTATTTTCAAACAAAATGAGAACAATTCTTTCGAAGCCAAGCCAAAGCGAATGAGCTCTAATAGTTAGAAATAAATTGGTTAAATGGAGATATTTTATGATATAAGAACAAATTCTTATTTAGGTACTATGGTTGCTGTATCAAAGCAAAATTACCAAGAAGATGAATCAGATACAGTCTCAAAGAAACTACAAAAATCAAAATTTAGTCAAAACTAAGTCAAAAAAGAAAAATAAATATCAACACTAAATAGCTAAAGCTAGAGAAACTAATTTATAAGTAATTTATATCCATATATTTATACCTCTGAAAGAAGTTAAGAGGAAAGAATTTAGGACATCTTAGAAAATAATAAAGATCAAAAGAAAAAAATGGATGTAGCTGATAACGAAGTATACAAAATTTTAGAAAATCTTATAAAAATGGAATACAATAAGTGTAAAAAAATAGAAAAAAAATCTTCAAAATCATAAAAAAAGTCAGAGCAAGTTGATAATAATGAAATTAAAATTATTCCTTAGGTATATTTAAAGCATTATGAAGTTATTTAAAACTAAGAAGAATATAAGAATCACATAGAGCAATATATATTCAAAAAAAATTAAATGAGAAACAGCATAAATGATGAAAAAGAATAGAACGTAAAGATTTATAAAGACTATGGTGAAAATATAAAAACATTAAGGTTAGAACAAAATAAAATGATTGATGTCAAGTTAGCAAATGAAAACGAAGAGCAAATTAGTGAAAATTCTAACTAAAATCTAGAAAATAATTAATAAATGTTATAATTTGAAAATACAGAAGCAGAATATCAAAAAGAAATAGATGAAGTAAATTTTTTTTTAAAAAAATTAATTCTTTTTATCTTGATTAAAAAAATTTCATTTAAAATTAATTAGATTGTAGGCTCTAAAAAGAATATAAAATCTTTCATGAAAGACAGCAATTTTAATATTAATAGTAGCTTGTTTAACTACAAAAAAATATTTTCATTTTTATTTTTAGTGTTTGAAATAGTTTACATCAGTTTATCATTGATCCTTTATTAGCAGCAAGTAAATAATACAATAATTAGATTTCAGATGTATAATGTCACACATTTATACTTCGCAAACACTTAGCACATTATAGAGGGAGCTTTCAATATGTTTGCAATTGATAAAGGATCATATTACAATTATGAAAACATGGATTATAAGACTTAAGAATATTTCTTTTAAAAATATCTTGAATCAGAAACCATTTACTAGTTTGCTTTAGATGAGATATTGACAAAATTATATTTAAATAATGTGGGAGTAACTTAATAAATGTAAGATTTATTTATCAATAACAGAAATATGGATCTGTTAATTCATTTCAACCATCGTTAAACAATTGTATATCCTAATAATCTTTATTAAGCATCTTAATAAGTTTTGGCTAAGGTCTATCACTTCAAGGTATTAAATTAAATTTTTCTAAAATACTATGGTTTCTCGCTCATTAACGTTTTATGTTTGATTTCTGAATTTTAGCAAAAATTTACATAAATTATTTTGTGAAAATTGGAATTTCCTATTTCAGAACTCCAAATTATTAGAGAGACTATAGTATTTTTACTCACTAAAAAATTTTTATTTTTAAATTCTAAATATTTTTGATTAGATTGATTTGAATTTGTTTTTACTTAAAAAAAGAGAGTACCACTTGGATAATTTGATTTGCACAACAATGATATTTTTATAAATCTAGAAAACTTCTCAAATTAACTGTTGAATTAAATAATTTAATATAGAGACTTACAAGAATAAGAAATTTTTAGCTATTTAAAATCTGTTTAAACTTATTTACAAGATATTCTTTTTATAGGATTAATTTTCATTTTAGCTTATTTTGTTGTAGTATTTGTCCTTTACTTAAAAACTCTTTTTTACTATTATGAAGTTCCTTCAATTTTAACCACAATTCCACTTTCATAAGTCAGACATTAAGTTAAAAGAATTGAACAATTTTTAAGTACATCAACATTAGAAGAAGAGGAAACTGCTTTAAATGAGATGAATTAAGAACAAAAAAATTAAGATTTACCTAATAAATTAGAGAATCTTAACGAGAACGAAAATTAAAATCATTAAGAATAAATTTTGATACAAAATTCTAACTAATAAGACAATAATAGTGTCAAATCTGAGAGATCTAATTTACATTAAAGAGGCGAAAAACATGCATAAAAATAAGAAGAATCTAACACTAACACTGAAACAGCATTTAACTTAAGAGGCATTTCAAGTTAGAATGTAAGACCAATAAAATACAGTCTACTAAATATTTTGCTACTAATGCCATTCTTTTTATAGATAATCTTGTTTTCTACTTTTATAGCTGTTGAAACCAGTTTAACTTAAAATTTTACAACTAACTTGTAAAATTTTTATTCAGAACTTGCTTTCAGCGTAAAACTAGAGCCAAACTTTATGCTCTTGTTTAACTGTTTAAAAAGCCAAACAATGGCTAATAACTATATTGGAGTCAGATAGGTTTATGAACCAATAGTTTATTTCAATCGAAATATTAACTATATGTATGATTTAATGGATAATTTAACTTACATTCACTATAATAACTATAATAATTTGCCATCTTCTTATTAGACTTAGTTTGATTCATATTTCTCTAAAAATCCAAGCATTTGTGACCAACTCTTTTAAAAGTATCCATAAAATATTAACTTAACTGAGTGTAGCAGTTTTTTGAATGGAAAATTTAACGAAGGAATGAACATAAACATATAACATTTAATAACATAAATGATAGGCTATTCTTAAACTATAACAAGCGGTGGCATTTAATTACCATACAAATAATCTATGAACTCATAAATGTATGAAGTCTAAACAATATGTACTTATTTGAAGTTTATTATGAGAGAGCTAAATAATCTTTTTGTTAATGGAATATAACAGCTATTTAATAACTTAAACATAGCAAGAATAGCTATTACTATAACAATCTGTTCTCTTTTATTTTGTGTGTTTTTATTTGTCTCTCTTCCTATTATTTAGAAGATAAAAAACCAGATATTTTCTCAGAGATTGCTCTTTTGCTTACTACCTAAAACCTTGATATCCTAAAATAGGCATATTAGGTAGTATATATTAAAATAATATTTATCTAATTCTAAAAAATGAATGCATGATTGATTGACACTTTATAAATTAAGTTATTTATTATCTCTCTAAAAAAAATAAATAAATCCAAATAAACTATTTTTACTAGAGATTAATATTAAAAGTTTGTAGAATTAGAGCAGTGAGCCAAACAAGATCCTAAGTTTAGTGCTCTTTATTCACCATTTGAACTAATGCTTTTTATATTCCATTTTTATAAATAAAAGGAAAAAATTAATTGGCGGCTGATTTAATTATAATAATTACAAAAATTTAAAGGAGTATTTTATTTTTTATTAAATATTTTGTATTTATGATTAAAATTTGATAAAATTCCTTTTTTTCTTTTGTAACTTCTGAATTATCTTAGCTTTTGGTTCACTCATAAATGAATGAAATATTAAGAAAGTTTTAACCAGAAAAATAAAAACAATTTAAAGCAAGATACCATACAAAAATATAGTGGTTGGCATGCTACTTTTTATGAAATATAGTTTTTAGTTATTTATTAAAAAATCTGATTTTATATTTTATAATAGAATTATAATTAATTAATAATGTAATTTATTATAATTTAAAACATAATTAATCTTTGTGAATTAAGTGGGTTATCAAAAATAGTGATTTAATTAAGTTTCAAAAGATATAGAAAATTGTATTTTATAGAAGCTGAAATTACAATATTTAAGATATTTATCTTTTATGAAAAGACAATAAATAAGGAGAAAGATTTATTAATATTAATATATCTTTTGTGAGATTAAATAATAATATTTAAAGATGATAATCAACAATTTTTTAATTAATCAAAATTATTAATTAATTTCTGATAATAATTAATTAATTAATTAATAATAAAAGAAATATTAATGGCGAATAAATAAAAAAAAATGGAGTAATAGAATATCTCTTTTAATAATCTACAAGATGTATCCATTATTATTAATTTTATTTATTATTATAAAATCTTTTTTTTTAATAAACAGTTAATGAAATCTAACTTGAAAGCTCTGACTCATATTGACTTACAGTTAAAGTAAAAACTATACATAAATATTTATTCATTCTTATTTAATCATAAATTTTTCAAAACAAACAGGATTTTTTTTTATAAAATAAATATTTTAAAACTTTTTGTCTTTTTTTAATAATGTATTTACAAAATTAAGAATAAATAAAATTTTATATAATTCATTCATTGATAAATTAAATTCATTTGTTATTATTTATAAAATAAATAGAAATTGTATTCTTAATAACGAAAAAGTTACTTAGCTTAACACCTCTTTAATCTAATGTTAAAAATTAGAATCTTTAGTATTAAATCTTAAGTAATAATTTAACTTTATTATCTTAAATATCACAATTAATTGATTAATTTTTGCTATAAATCTAACATTTAGTAAGGAAAATATTTCAGACGAATAGATAAATTAATTATTTGCTGAAAATTCTTTCATTAAGAATTTAGTTGAAACTGGTAATAATGTGAGGTAAATAAATATATTTTGTATGTTAATAAGTCTATCTTTAATATAGTTTAAAAATAAATGGTTTAATAAATGATCTATTATTCTATAACTCTAGTTATATATATCTATCAAATAAAAAACCTAAAAGATTGAATCTAGCTTTTTAAATAATGTTAAATAAAATATTAGCTTAAATCTTTTTGTTAATTTATTAATTTAAAGAAATAAAAAAAGTTTGAATTTAATTTTATTTTATTTAAATAGCAATGATTAAATTTATGCCCAAATTAAGTTTTTCAGAAGTATTTTATAAGGGATACATGAAGTCTGTAAAGAACCTAGGTAAAATAGAATTATTGATATTTAATTATTTATTTATTTATTTATTTATTTATTTTTTAATTTGAAAGATTAAATGAAATTGAAGCTTAAGGAAATATTCTATTAGAAGAAACTATGAGCCATCTAATTAATCTAAATAGTTTACAACTAAATTTAGAGTATTTTTATTTTAATATAATTAAGTTCATATTTCAAAACTCATTAAATATTTTCATTATTTGAACTTAATTATTGCAAAATACCATTCAAAAATTTCGATTAGATAAGTGAATGGCATTTATTATTTTAAATTTAAATTTATTTAATTTGCTTCTTTGCTAAGCTAAACAATTAAATGTATGTAATTAAATGCTACTCACTAATATAGTCGTTTCCAAAAGACGAAATTTTTGAATCGCATTTTGCTAAATTGAAAATAATCTTTTTTAATAAAAGTGGAAATTAAATTGGAGATGGAGGTGCAGTTTCGATTTGCAAAGTATTACGTAGATGTTAAACACTTACAAACTTAAATCTATAACTTTGGTAATTTTATTTTAATTATATTAAACATACATATTCAGCTAATTTTATTCTATTTTCTCAAAAGCAAATAAATAATTTATTAATTTATTTAAATATTTTTTTGGAAAGGAAAAATGAAATGAGTGACAAAGCGATATAGAGTATTGCTGAAGGTATTAGTAGCTGCACTAAACTCACAAATTTAACTTTAAACATAGTGTAAATTTTATTGATTATTAGTTATAAAATTAAATTTTCTTTTTCAATATAATTTTATATTTTATTGTAAAAACTTAAAAAGATCAAATTTATTCGGAAAAGAAGGTGCATTTTCTATTAGTACAGCATTAAGTAGCTGTAGAATATTGACTCATCTAGATATTAACCTCTCGTAACTAATTTTTATTTTTTTTAAGGAGAAATTAAAAAAATTAATTGTAGGCAATTTAATAAATTTTTTAATATATTTAATCCATAATTAAATTTTAAGTTTTCATTAATTATATTCATATTTTATTTTATGTTTTATTAGCAACAATTAAATTGGAGAAGAAGGAGCACTTGCTGTTTGTAGAGTATTAGATAGTTGTAAATTACTTATCAATCTAAAACTTATGCTTTGGTAATTAATTTTGATATTTACTTTTTAAAAAAAAATTTAATATTTAATATTTTTTATTTTATTTAAAAATTTTTAAATTAATAAATTAAAGGAGGATTAATTAATTTATTTATTTGCATATTATCTTTTTATAATAAAAGTAATAATTAAATTGGGGATGAAGGAGGATAATCATTTGGAATGGCATTAAGTAGCTGCTAGTAACTAACTAATTTAAAATTTAGTCTAATGTAATTTTAATTTTATAATTTTGATAATCTAAAAAAACTTTGAGATTTGTTTAAAATAAAAAATTTGATTTATTTTGTTTAAAAAGGAAAAATAAAATAGGTGATAAAACAGCATTAAGTGTTGGATTAGGTTTAAGTAAATGTAATCAACTTACCAATTTAGATATTGGAATGGAGTAAATATCTTTTTTATTATTTAAAAAATAAAATAATACTTTTTATTTAAATTTTTTTTATTTATTTATTTATTATTTATATTAATAAAAGATTAAATTAAATTGGAAATGATGGAGCTTCTGCTATTGGTAGGGCTATTGGTAACTGTAAATACCTTACTAATCTTTAGTTTTAGGTTTAGTAATATTAATTTTATCTTTTTTTAGTGATAATTAAAAAAATTTTAATTATTTTATATATTTTGAATTAAATTCAAAAGAATTTTTAAATTATTAATTAAACTATTTCTTTTATTTAAAAAGTGGAAATAAAATTGGAGATGAAGGGGCTTCAAATATAGGATTAGGTTTAAGGAACAGCACTCAACTTATAAATTTAAAATTTATTATAAGGTAAATTATGTTTATTACTTTTTAATTAATTATGTAAAAGATTTTTACTCATACTGAATTAAATTTACTTAAAATTAATAAAAAATATGTTTTTTATTTATTAAAGATAAAATTAAATTGGGGATAATGGAGCTACTTCTATTGGTAATGCACTTGGTAACTGCAAATTCCTAACAAATCTTGTTTTTGATATTTCGTAAAATAAATTCAATATTTATTAATGAGAACTCAAAAAAGTTTGAGTTATTTTGAATTAAAAGTCAAAGTTTTTTTAAATATTTAATAAATTTATTTATTTATTTTGTTTGAAAAGGAAAAATAAAATCGGTGATGAAGGAGCATAAAATATTGGAATAGGTTTGAGTAATTGCACTCAACTTACAAATTTAGATTTTAGGATATGGTAAATTTATTTCATTTTTTAATATTGAAAAAAATTATGAAAAAGCTTTTTATTAAAACTTAATTAAACAACCTTAAAGTTTTAAATTTTTAAATAAACTTAATTTTCATTTTAAAATAAATTTTATATTTATTTATTGATAACTAAAAAAAGTTTGAGTTATTTTATAATTTTGATTTTAATATCAAAGCTAATTTAAATAGTTAATAAATCGATTTATTTATTTATTTATTTATTTATTTTGTTTGAAAAGGGAAAATAAAATTGGTGATAAAGGAGCATAAAATATTGGATTAGGTTTGAGTAACTGCACTCAACTTACAAATTTAGTATTTATGATATGGTAAATTTATTTCGTTTATAATTTTTGAAAAAAATTCAGTAAAAGATTTATTAAAACTGAATTAAATAAGTTTAAAATTTATAAAGTGTCTTTAATTTTTAATTAAACTTGATTTTCGTTTATAAAAGTTCAAACTAAATTGGGGATGATGGAGCTTCTACTATCGGTGCTGCACTTGGAAAGTTCAAGTGCCTTACTAATCTCGATTTTGATATTTCGTAAAATAAATTAAATATTTATTAATGAGAACTTAAAAAAGTTTGAGTTATTTATATATTTTGAATTAAATGTCAAAATATATTTAAATAGTTAATAAATTGATTTATTTATTTTGTTTGAAAAGGGAAAATTAAATAGGTGATGAAGGAGCATAAAATATTGGATTAGGTTTGAGTAATTGTACTTAACTTACAAAATTAGGATTGCAGATACAGTAAATTTATTTCATTAAAAAAATATGAAAAACTTTTTATTATAACTGAATTAAACAATTATAAATTTTATTTAATGTCTTTATTTTTATAGAAATTTCATGTATTAAATTCTTATGGAGGTGGGGAATTAAGAATTTAATCCCTGGATTTTGCTAAAAATAAAATAGATTACCTGTTTTCCTCTGAAGATTTCAAATGAAATTTTTTTTTCTTTCCACCGATTTAATTTTTATGATTTTACTTCAATATGAAATCTTTAAAATAAATTTATATTTATTTATTGATAACTTAAAAAAGTTTGAAATAATTTTTTATTTTGATTTAAATTTCAAAACAAATTTAAATAGTTTATAAATTTATTTATTTATTTTGTATGAAAAGATAAAATAAAATCTGTGACGAAGGAGCAAAATGTATTGGATTAAGTTTGAGTAAATGCACTCAACTTACAAATTTATTATTTTGGATAAGGTAAATTTGTTTAATTAACAACTTTTGAAAAAAATTCAGTAAAAGCTTTTTATTCAAACTGAATTATAAAGCTTAAATTTTATAAAATGTCTTAAATTTTTAATTAAACTCGATTTTTATTTATAAAAGCTCGAATTAAGTTGGGGATGATGGAGCTTCTACTATTGGTACAGCACTTGGAAACTGCTAATTACTTACTAATCTTGCTTTTGATATTTCGTAAAATAAATTTTATATTTATTTAATGTCAAAACAAATTTAAATAGTTAATAAATTGATTTATTTATTTATTTTGTTTGAAAAGATAAAATAAAATTGGTGATTAAGGGGCATAAAATATTGGATTAGGTTTGAGTAAATGCACTCAGCTTACAAATTTAGTATTTTTTATGAAGTAAGTTTATTTCATTTATTACTTTTGAAAAAAATTATGAAAAAGCTTTTTATTCAAACTGAATTAAATTAAATTTTATAAAATGCCTTTAATTTTTAATTAAAATTGATTTTTATTTATAAAAGAGAAAATTAAATTGGGGATGATGGAGCTTCTACTATTGGTACAGCACTTGGAAACTGCTAATTACTTACTAATCTTACTATTGTTATTTCGTAAAATAAATTTTATATTTATTTAATGACAAAACAAATTTAAATATTTAATAAATTTATTTATTTTGTTTGAAAAGATAAAATAAAATTGGTGACAAAGGAGCCTAGAATATTGGATTCGGTTTGAGTAAATGCACTCAACTTACAAATTTAAAATTTGTAATAAGGTAAATTTATTTAATTTATTACTTTTGAAAAAAATTATGAAAAAGCTTTTTATTCAAACTTAATTTAATAAGCTTAAATTTTATAAAATGCCTTTAATTTTTAATTAAACTTGATTTTTATTTATAAAAGTTCAAATTAAATTGGAGATGATGGAGCTTCTACTATCGGTACAGCACTTAGTAACTGCTAATTACTTACTAATCTTACTTTTGCTATTTCGTAAAATAAATTTTATATTTATTTTATGTCAAAACAAATTTAAATAGTTAATAAATTTATTTATTTAATTTGTTTTAAAGTTCAAATAAAATTGGTGATAAAGGAGCATAAAATATTGGATTAGGTTTGAGTAATTGCACTCAACTTACAGATTTAGTATTTTTTATGGGGTAAATTTATTTCATTTATAAATATTGAAAAAATTATGAAAAATCTTTTTATTCAAACTAGATTAAATAAGCTTAAATTTTATAAAATGTCTTTAATTTTTAATTAAACTTGATTTTTGTTTATAAAAGCTTGAATTAAATTGGGGATGTTGGAGCTTCTACAATAGGTACAGCACTTGGTAACTGCAAATTGCTTACTAATCTCGATTTTAATATTTAGTAAATTTTAAAGTTGGAATAAAAATTATAAATTTATTTCATTTATGACTTTTGAAAAAAATTATGAAAAATCTTTCTATACATAATAGATTAAATTAGCTTAAATTTTATAAAATGTATTAAATTTTTTAATAAAACTTGATTTTTATTTATAAAAGCTGGAATTAAATTGGGGATGATGGAGCTTCTACAATAGGTATAGCACTTGGTAAATGCAAATTACTTACTAGTCTTACTTTTGGTATTAGGTAAAATCAATTTTTTATTTATTTATTGATAACTTAAAAAAGCTTGAATTACTTTATTATTTTGATTTAAATGTCAAAACAAATTTAAATAGTTATAAATTGATTTACTTACTAATTTTATTTTAAAGTCATAACAAAATTGGTGATAAAGGAGCATAAAATATTGGATTAGGTTTGAGTAGTTGCACTCAGCTTACAAAATTAGAATTACTGATATTGTAAATTTATTTCATTTTTTAATATTGAAAAAATTATGAAAAATCTTTTTATTCAAACTGGATTATATAAGCTTAAATTTTATAAAATGTATTAAATTTTTAATTAAACTTGATATTTATTTATAAAAGCGAAAATTAAATTGGGGATGATGGAGCTTCTGCAATAGGTACTGCACTTGGTAACTGCAAATTACTTACTAATCTCAATTTTAAGATTTCGTAAAAAAAAACTTTTTATTCAAACTTAATAAAGCAAGCTTAAATTTTATAAAATGTCTTTACTTTTAAATTAAACTTTTGTAAAATAAATTTTATATTTAAAAAAAAATTATGAAAAAGCTTTATATTCAAATAATAAATCTATTTAAAATTTAATTTTTAATTAAATATTATTTTCATTTATAAAAGCCACAATTAAATTGGAGATAATGGAATTATTACTATAGTTACAGCACTTGGTAACTGCAAATTCCTTACTAATCTTACTTTTAATATTAAGTAAAATCAAATTTTTATTTATTTATTGATAACTTAAAAATATTTATTTATTTTAAATTAAATATCAATTCAAATTTAAATAGTAATAAATTGATTTATATTGTTTGAAAAGGGGAAATAATATTGGTGATAAAGGAGCATAATATATGGGATTATGCTTGAGTAACTTCACTTAACTTAAGAATTTAGTTTTTAACTCAGAGTAAATTTCATTTATTATTTTTGAAAAACAATTATATTAAATTTTTTAAGACGTTAAGTAAAATATCTTTATTTAATAAGAAATTATGAGAAATTTCTAAAATCCAGAGAAATCATTAACTGTAAAAATATAAAGTTATTGAAGCTTGATATGTAATTAATATTTATTGATTAAAATTAGATAATTAAAAGTAAAAAATTTTATTTATTAAAAAATAAATTAATATTTAATAAAAGTTATTTTCCAGATGATAGATAAACTATTAAAAGATTAGCTTAAAAAATAAAAAGATTAGTTAAATTAAATGTAGATTGAATTTACTAAAATTAATAATAAATATTTATTTATTTATTAACAGTACAATTTATAACAAAAATGATTGAAATTAAAAGTTGTATGTATAATGAATATATATTTTATTATTTAATTAAATTTAATAAAAAAGCAATTTATTTAATGAATATTATGATTTAATTATCATTAAAATAAATAATTAAATTTTTTATGTTTATCCTTTACACAATAAAATCTTTTGATTTATTTTACAATATTAGATATTTACAAAAATATCTTTATTAATTTACTTTATTAGTTAATCTTTTGTTTTCTTAAAATAATTAAATTTTACAATTTATGATATTTAATTTAATTAATTTGAATTTATATTTATAATAATAATATCATTTTAATAAAACTCTAAATATAAGTTTATTAACATATTTAAATTAAATTTCTAAGAGATATAAATAAATATAAACTCTAAATTTTTGTAAAACTGCATAAAAAAATTCTTCAATAAAATAAAAAATGGGAAATAAATAGTAAAAATTATTTTGTGAAAATGGGAATTTACTGTTTCAGAACTCTAAATTATCTAGACACTATAGTATTTTTACTTATTTTAAATTCTAAGTATTTTTGTTTAGATTGATTTGATTTTGTTTTTACTTAAAAAAAAGAGAGTACCACTTGGATAGTTTGATTTGCACAACAATGATGTTTTTATAAATCTAGAAAACTTCTCAAATTAACTGTTGAATTAAATAATTTAATATAGGGACTTACAAGAATAAGAAATTTCTAGCTATTTACAATCTGTTTAAACTTATTTACAAGATATTCTTTTTATAGGATTAATTTTTATTTTAGCTTATTTTGTTATCTTATTTGTTCTATACTTAAAAACTCTTTTTTACTATTATGAAGTTCCTTCAATTTTAACCACAATTCCACTTTCGTAAGTCAGACATTAAGTTAAAAGATGTGAACAATTTTTAAGTAACTCATCAACTTTAGAAGAAGAGGATTTTGCATTAAATGAGATGAATTAAGAATAAAAAAATTAAGATTTACCCAATAAATTTGAGAATCTTAATGAAAATGAAAATTAAAATCATTAAGAATAAATTTTGATACAAAATTCTAACTAATAAGACAATAATAGTGTCTAATCAGAGAGATCTAATTTACAATAAAGAAGTGAAAAACATGCTTAAAAATAAGAAGAATCTTACAATAACACTGAAACAGTATTTAACTTAAGAGGCATAACAAGTTAGAACGTAAGACCAATAAAATACAGTCTACTAAATATTTTGCTACTAATGCCATTCTTTTTTTAGATAATTTTATTTTCTACTTTTATAGCTGTTGAAACCAGTTTAACTTAAAATTTTACAACTAACTTGTAGAATTTTTATTCAGAACTTGCTTTCAGCTTAAAACTAGAACCAAACTTTATGCTCTTATTTAATTGTTTAAAAAGCCAAACAATGGCTAATAACTATATTGGAGTCAGATAGGTTTATGAACCAATAGTTTATTTCAACCGAAATATTAACTATATGTATGATTTAATGGATAATTTAACTTACATTCACTATAATAACTATAATAATTTACCATCTTCTTATTAGACTTAGTTTGATTCATATTTCTCTAAAAATCCAAGCATTTGTGACCAACTCTTTTAAAAGTATCCATAAAATATTAACTTAACTGAGTGTAGCAGTTTTTTGAATGGAAAATTTAACGAAGGAATGAACATAAACATAGAGCATTTAATAACATAAATGATAGGCTATTCTTAAACTATAACAAGCGGTGGCATTTAATTACCATACAAATAATCTATGAACTCATAAATGTATGAAGTCTAAACAATATGTACTTATTTGAAGTTTGTTATGAGAGAGCTAAATAATCTTTTTGTTAATGGAATATAGCAGCTATTCAATAACTTAAACATAGCAAGAATAGCTATTACTATAACAATCTGTTCTCTTTTATTTTGTGTGTTTTTATTTGTCTCTCTTCCTATTATTTAGAAGATAAAAAACCAGATATTTTCTCAGAGATTGCTCTTTTGCTTACTACCTAAAACCTTGATATCCTAAAATAGGCATATTAGGTAGTATATATGAAAATAATATTTATCTAATTCTAAAAAATGAATGCTTGATCAATTAACAGTATATAAATTAAGTTATTATCTCTCTAAAAAAAAAATAAATCCAAATAAACTATTTTTACTAGAGATTAATATTAAAAGTTTGTAGAATTAGAGCAGTGAGCCAAACCAGATCCTAAGTTTAGTGTTCTTTATTCACCATTTGAACTACTGCTTTTTATATTTATAAAAAATATGTTAATTAATATAAAATAGTATAGTAAAATGCCATTTTTATAAATAAAAGGAAAAAATTAATTGGCTGATTTAATTATAATAATTACAAATATTTTAAGGAGTATTTTATTTTTTATTAAATATTTTGTATTTATGATTAAAATTTGATAAAATTCCTTTTTTTCTTTTGTAATTTCTGTTTTATCTAAGCTTTTGGTTCACTCATAAATGAATGAAATATTAACAAAGTTTTAACCAAAAAATAAATACAATTTATAGAAATAATTTTATCAGATCTCACATGTTTATGTCAGTCGTAATGTGATCACAAAATATAGTATCTAATATTTGATAAGGATCTTCCACCAATATTTTTCTCTATTTCTTTATATTTGTAATTGTTTTAATTGATTTTTAGATTTATTTGAATCCTTTTTATTTTAAATAATAAGACAAATTATGAAAAAGAAGTAAATGCACCTTGCTATGTAGGGTTTATCAAATATTGATTTTATAACTGTTTTCAAATTGTTGCTTATCTTTATTAAGAAAAGGTATTGAAATAGATTTCAAAATAATCAGCATTTGAAGCAATTTATTGTAGAGAAATTTTATTTTTTTGATTTTAAATTTTATTTTTAATATGAATACATACATAATCAAGCTAACTTCGTTCTGATTTAATTTTTAATGATTTCAATAATCTATTTTTTAAATATATAATATAATAAAATAAAACATTAGAAATAAAATCAGTGCCTCAATTATCATGGTTATGTGTAGCCAAAATGATTTAATTAAGCTTCAAAAGATATAGAAAATTGTATTTTATAGAAGCAGAAATTACAATATTTAAGATATTTATCTTTATGAAAAGACAATAAATAAGGAGAAAGATTTATTAAAATTAATATATCATTTGTGAGATTAAATAAGAATATTTAAAAAAGATAATCAAGAATTTTTTAATTAATCAAAATTATTAATTAATTTCTGATAATAATTAATAATATAAGAAATATTAATGGCGAATAATTAAAAAAAATGGAGTAATAGAATAACTCTTTTAATAATCTAGAAGATGTATCCATCATTATTCATTTTATTTATTATTATAAAATCTTTTTTTTAAATAAACAGTTAATGAAATCTAACTTGAAAGCTCTGACTCATATTGATTTACAGTTAAAGTAAAAACTATACATAAATATTTATTCATTCATATTTAATCATAAATTTTTCAAAACAAACAGTATTTTTTTTTATAAAATAAATATTTTAAAACTTTTTATCTTTTTTTAATAATATATTTACAAAATTAAGAATAAATAACATTTTATATAATTCATTTATTGCTAAATTAAATTCTTTTGTTATTATTTATAAAATAAATAGAAATTGTACTCTAAATAATGAAAAAGTTACTTAGCTTAACACCTCTTTAATCCAATGTTAAAAATTAGAATCTTTAGTATTAAATCTTAAGTAATAATTTAACTTTATTATTTTAAATACCATAATCAATTGATTAATTTTTGCTATAAATATAACATTTAGTAAGGAAAATATTTCAGACGAATAGATAAATTAATTATTTGAAAATTCATTTGTAAAGAATTTAGTTGAAACTGGTAATAATGTGAGGTAAGTAAATATATTTTGTATATTAATAAATCTAACTTTAATATAGTCAAAAAATAAATGGTTTAATAAATTTACTATTATCCTATAAGTCTAGTTATATATATCTATGATTATAAAAATCTAAAAGATTGAATCTTGTTTTTTAAATAATGTTAAATAAAATATTAGCTTAAATCTTTTTGTTAATTTATTAATTTAAATAAATTAGTATAGTTTGAATTTAATTTTATTTTATTTAAATAGCAATGATTAAATATATGCCCAAAATATGTTTTTCGAAAAAGTTTTATACGGGAAAGATGAAGTCAGTAAAGGACCTAGGTAAAATAGAATTATTGATATTTAATTATTTATTTATTTATTTTTTTTTTTTAATTTGAAAGATTAAATGAAAGTGAAGCTTACAGAGATGTTCTATTAGAAGAAACTATGAGCCATCTAATTAATCTAAACAGTTTACAACTAAATTTAGAGTATTCTTATTTTTAAAAAATAAATTAAGTTCATCTTTCAAAACTCATTAAATATTTTGATTATTTGAGCTTAATTATTGAAAATAATCTTTTTTAATAAAAGTGGAAATTAAATTGGAGATGGAGGTGCAGTTTCGATTTGCAAAGTATTACGTAGATGTTAAACACTTACTAACTTAAATCTATAGCTTTGGTAATTTTATTTTAATTACATTAAACATATTCAGCTAATTTTATTGTTTAGTCTCAAAAGCAAATAAATTATTTAATTATTTATTTATTTAAATATTTTTTTGGAAAGGAAAAATAAAATGAGTGACAAAGCGATATAGAGTATTGCAGAAGGTATTAGTAGTTGCACTAAACTCACAAATTTAACTTTAAACGCAGTGTAAAATTTATTGATTATTAATTATAAAATTAAATTTTCTTTTTCAATATAATTTTATATTTTATTGTAAAAACTTTAAAAGATCAAATTTATTCGGAAAAGAAGGTGCATTTTCTATTAGTTCAGAATTAAGTAGCTGTAGAATGTTGACTCATCTAGATATTAACCTCTCGTAACTAATTTTTATTTTTTTTTAAGGAGAAATTAAAAAAATTAATTGTAGGCAATTTAACAAATTTTTTAATATATTTAATCCATAATTAAATTTTAAGTTTTCATTAATTTTTATTCATATATTATTTTATGTTTTATTAGCAACAATTAAATTGGAGAAGAAGGAGCACTTGCTGTTTGTAGAGTAATAGATAGTTGTAAATTACTTATCAATCTAAAACTTATGCTTTGGTAATTAATTTTGATATTTACTTTTTAAAAAAAAATTTAATATTTAATAATTTTTATTTTATTAAAAAAATTTTAAATTAATCAATTAAAGGATGATTAATTTATTTATTTATTAGCATATTATTTTTTTATAATAAAAGTAATAATTAAATTGGGGATGAAGGAGGATAATCTTTTGGAATGGCATTAAGTAGCTGTTAGTAACTAACTAATTTAAAATTTAGTCTAATGTAATTTTAATTTTATAATTTTGATAATCTAAAAAAACTTTCAGATTTGTTTAAAATAAAAAATTTGATTTATTTTGATTAAATAGGGATAATAAAATAGGTGATAAAACAGCATTAAGTGTTGGATTAGGTTTAAGTAAATGTAATCAACTTACCAATTTAGATATTGGAATGGAGTAAATATCTTTTTTATTATTTAAAAAATAAAATTATTTTTTTATTCAAATTTCATTTAAAATTATTAAAAATTTTAAATTTTTATTTATTTATTATTTTTATTAATAAAAGATTAAATTAAATTGGAAATGATGGAGCTTCTGCTATTGGTAGGGCTATTGGTAACTGTAAATACCTTACTAATCTTTAGTTTTAGATTTAGTAATATTAATTTTATCTTTTTTTAGTGATAACTTAAAAAAAATTTTAATTATTTTATATATTTTGAATTAAATTCCAAAGAATATTTAAATTATTAATTAAATTATTTCTTTTATTTGAAAAGTGGAAATAAAATTGGAGATGAATAGAATAGAATAGAATAGAAATACTCGCACATATAAATGCACTCAGAATACATCTTAAATAGAATATTTTATATTAGTTTTATAAATTTTATTTGTTTTTGTATTATTAAATATATAGACATATTTATTTTGTAAATTGCCTCTAATTAATAATTTAAAAATTTATTGGTAATTTCAAATAGAATTTTTTTTTCTTTCCACCGATTTACTTTTTCTGATTTTTCTTCAATAGGAAATCTTTAAAATAAATTTATATTTATTTATTGATAACTTAAAAAAGTTTGAAATAATTTTTTTATTTTGATTTAAATTTCAAAACAAATTTAAATAGTTTATAAATTTATTTATTTATTTTGTTTGAAAAGATAAAATAAAATCTGTGACGAAGGAGCATAATGTATAGGATTAGGTTTGAGTAAATGCACTCAACTTACATATTTATTA